CTACAATTTGAAGATGAGCAGCAAAATGTCGCTATGGATTCAGATCCAGGCTAATTGTTAAAGATATACTGGGTGTAACGTTCTAACGATTAATTGAATTTTAAAAAATCATAAGGCCAAACATTTGGTTGATGTAAGCGCCTAAACACTGATATAATTCACTGAACCATTCATATGCTAATCACTGAGAATATATCAGGCAAATTCTAATGTCGAGATTAACCGCGCAATAACAAATTCGCCTCTTTAAAGATGAAACAAACCATGCAAAATACAGAGATTGTAACGGGACACCTGAGCGGGCGATCGCGTTCTGTTTTTGCACGGCCTGCTATGTTTTGCATATGCAATGTCCAATTCCATTCTTTCCCTAAGATTTGATTTATTTACGACTCGGTTTTTTCATTTTCGTGCAGCTTTGACATTTTTTCAATGATCTCCATTTCAATCGCCTACCTGTAATGTTTCTTAACTAAAAACTTTCCACTGATCCTATCTTGTAAATTGTCAAATTTGTCTGGAACCGCGGAACAAAATGCATTCTCTGACTCTGAATATATGAAAATCATCTACTATTTTCAGGCCCTACTTTCCCTGCTGTTTATTTAGTGTTTGTTACTGCCAAGATCGCTTTCATAGTCATTTTTTTTAAAATGCATTCTGGCTTAATTTAATCTTAAATAGATCATTTTTACTCGAAAAAGTGGCCTTCAACACCAAAAAGGTAATTTTAAAGCAGTAAATCGTCTCGCTCACCTAGCGATGAAGCGTGGCAACATATGAATGCAACTAATGTTTAATTAGTAGCGAGAGCAAATACCTTTCTGAAGCTCTCCACTTCGTACTTCAAGAACTTGCTCAACTTGATATAATAGAGTTTCACCTGGTTCCAAGTTGACTTCCACTAGGCGCTCAGTAACTTGCTCTTTCCGAGTCAACAACGTTGCTGTGAGTATGGCTCCACAAACCACGAGTGATATAACCGCAAAGATGGCGATGGTCCGCAAAATGGTTCGTTTTTTTGAAGCAGGCTTCCCTCCTTCGGAATCATCTTCAACATAATCTTTCACTTGAGTTCCCTTTTCCTTGTGGTGTTCCTTTTTCTCTGGAAAACCATCCATGATCGAGGATGAAGCTCCGTCCTTTCTGAAGGTTCAGTGTAATGAGGGACCTTTTTAACTCTTGAATTGCGCGCATGCGCAAGAGCGAGTTATAGATACGATGTGGGGAATGCCATTCGCTCGCTCGCTCGCTCGATTGGTCGATTCCTATAAACTTTTTTTTAGATTTTAGGCTTTTGAGTGCATTTGATAGTTTTTGGCGAGCAATAAACAGACGAAATGGCGACCTTTGTTGCTAAGAATAGTGGTGGGGTGAAAAAGAAGCCAATGATAATCTTAAAAGAGTTTTTTTTTTTTTTCGTTTTAGTTTCAACAAGCGACGCCAGCGACTGGTAGGCAGGCAAGGATTCACATTGAAATAACAGAACAACCTTCGTTTTTCATAAAATTGTAATTTACAATCCTTGAACTTGAAAACAATCCGAAGATTCATTGAAAATATCACTTACTGCGAAGCGCTCGGAGTTTACAGATGTTCAAAAGCTTTTTCTGTTATGGCGTGAGATTGAGGACAAAATTGATCATTACGTTTCGTCGCGTGTGTTTTTCCTGTGTGAAGCAACAAAAGTGCTGGCGACTGACGAAATAACAAGTTAACACGAAAATCAAATAACACCTAAACAAACAATTTTAGCTACCGATTTTCAATTTGAATTTTTAAAGAACAATTAAAAAAACAGTAAATTTCACTTTTCACCCACATTTACTTCCAACTTTTTCTTTTGAACCAGAAACAAAAGTGATAGACGTTTAAAACACATTACATCATCCACCTTGTCAAATGTACTAGCATGATCATTTCAATGCCTTCTTATCCCAACGTTACTTTGTTTCTTTGCTACATTAGCGAACACTGAACTACTGCTCGTACTCTAGATATGACAATCAGCCACAAAATTCCCTAAACCAGATAACATTAAACATAGTCTTAAAAAATCATGTGTCAATTCACGAATTTGCTCACAGAGCACTTTGATTTGAAATATTTTTGTTCATTCGCGATGGCTTAATCTTTTGCTTTTTCGCCGTGACTGACAGCCCGATATTTTTAGGTTTAGTAGACAGTTGAAATGAAAGGTTTTAATTAAAGGTTTGTTTTACAACTTTACCTTGAAGTTTAGGTTAGTAAATGAACTTTTCCGGGGTCAAAAAAATTATGGAACTGATCTTCAATCTCTTTGAGGATGCAAACTGCTGTAAATCAAAGTGCTCTATGAGCAAACTCGTGAATTGACACATGATATTTTGGATTATTTTTAATGTTAACTGGTTTAGGGAATTTTGTGGTTGATTGTCGTATCTAGAGTACAAGCAGTAGTTCAGTGTTCGCTAATGTAGCAAAGAAACAAAGTAATTGAAATTGAAATGATCATGCTATTACATTTGACAAGGGTGGATGATGTCATGTGTTTTAAACGTATATCATTTTTGTTTCTGGTTCAAAAGAAAAGGTTGAAAGTAAATGTGGGTGAAAAGTGAAATTTACTGTCTATCGTTGTAAAAATTAGAAAATCAAGGCAATAACTTCTTAATGAAAACATTAACGATTCCCTCTTTATCAAATGAGACAAACGAGAACGAGTTTTGAGTGATATAACTAGGCCAAGATTGCCACCATCATTTTGGATCTCCGCCTGGGTAGATTTTAGTCACGTGCTAGGCAACGTATAATCAATAACAAGATAGAATTTCATTTCAGGCCTATTTATCAATTTTGTGGTGTATAACTTTCACATTTTAGTACGTAATACGTATTTTGAATCTTCAAATTGTCTTGAAACTTACAAGAAAATTGTTCGTTAAAAATTCACTGAAAATCGCTAGCTATGATTTTCGTGTTAACTTGTAATTTCGTCAGTCTCCGGCATCTTTTGTTGCTTCACACAGGAAAAACACACGATACGAAACGTAATGATCGATTTTGTCCTCAATCTCACGCTATAACAGAAAAAGCTTTTAAACATCTGTAAACTCCGAGCGCTTCGCAGTAAGTGATATTTTCAATGAATCTTCCGATTGTTTTCAAGTTCAAGGATTGTGAATTACAATTTTATGAAAAACGAAGGTTGTTCTGTTATTTCAGTGTGAATCCTTGCATGCCTGCCAGTCGCTGGCGCTGCTTGTTGAAACTAAAACGAAAAAAAACTCTTTTAAGATTATTATTGGCTTCTTTTTCACCCCACCACTATTCTTAGCAACAAAGGTCGCCATTTTGTTTGTTTATTGCTCGCCAAAAACTATCAAATGCACTCAAAAGCCTAAAATCAAAAAAAAGTTTACAGGAATCGACCAATCAAGCGAGCGAGCGAGCGAGCGAATGCTATTCCCCACATCGTATCTATAACTCGCTCTTGCGCATGCGCGCAATTTACGAGTTAAAAAGTGTATGGGATGATCTTGATTTGCCGCTAAATCAGTTGCCAACCGCCATTCTGTGTTTTCGACGATGCTGTTAATCTTTCTGTTTATTATTCGACCATTGTTGTCAGGAGCTCATCACTTATGGGCTCCTGTTTTTGTCTAATTTACGATTTCTTATCATTGTTCTATGCTTAGTTTGTAGGGAAACCTTTTTAAAACAGTAATCGTTCCTTTCATTGCTGCTGCTTGCCCGAAGAGAACCTTATTAAACAGAACCAAACTAGTTCTTTGTCAAACGAGAGCAGATATAGATACAGATAGAGGAAGCCCCACATGGCAACTTTGTGGCGGTAAATTGGCGGCATGTAGATCAGCGAGCACGGATTCAAAGCAAATATACTTGATCATAGAGTTGCAACTGAAATTTAGTCTTGATGCCAGATTCAGTCAACGTGACTAGGTGTTCAAGATTTTCTTTTGGCTTCAGCAAAGTGTGGAGTTTACTGACACCTATAACCTACTGAAAGTAGCTGAGGATGCGTGTGGAGTGTTGGAGGAACTCACAGAATGTTTCCACATTCTGCCAAAATGCCTGAAGTCACGTAGCCTGCATAGTGCAGGCGTCTTATTAGGGCGAGTTAACGTTACGAAGCTCGCAATCGTCTATTCAACCGGCCTTGTTTGATTTGGAGATAGAGGCAGCGGCAGCAGGAGGGGTGCAGAAAGGCGAAATATATACAAATACTGACTAACCCATCCCCACCCCTCTCCTTATAAATTACAAGGTTAAGTAAATGTTGAATTCAAATATGGATTCAAATTGATTTTAATAGGGTTCAACCTTTGACCTATCAGGAGATGGATGCATGTATGCCGTCATCGTTGGCAATTTTATTTTTCATGCACTGGGCATGAGTCTGTCAGGGTCATCTTACAGTTATCATTTACTTCCCACAATATTTACGTCAATATTAACCCTGTTTTTCCACAAACCGCAGATTAGCTCCCCCATTAAAAAAATTTCGTCGAAATGGAGGACCGATTCAACCTCAGCATTCTTTTTCTAAGCACTTACAACTATAGTGCCCAATCCTTTTTTCTTCTTTGTTGCTTTCTTAGTGGTGTCAATGGAGTTTCGGAGAAGTTTCACTGTTGAACTGGATCCCAGCTGCAGAATTAAATCGAACTCAGCCTTGTCAAGCTCTCCTCCATAGAACTTTTTCATTGATTCGATATGAATGGTGGCTTTCACTTTCATATTTATGCCAATAACCTTTTTCCTATAATGTTAAGCGTTGAGGAATTTGGAAAAGAGCTCTTTCTGTGACTTTGGTGCTTGAGTCGTGCGATGCTGTTGTCAAGTTTGTCTCTTGCTCACCATTGCTGGCGGAGGTAGTGCTCGATGCGTAAGAATCAGCGGATGGTTCGCTTTTTTGCCTCTCCCTCGGAATTCTCTCATCCTGAATTATTGGTCATATTTTGGGCGTTGAGCTTTACGAAGCCAGTGCAGTTAACGTTTCATAATTCCTTATCCTTAAGATAGCTTCTTCGAGATTTCACGTCGATAAACAGTATTACGCTACTTGTAGATGTAACGCTCATCTTGTAAGTTACATTAACATTATGGAATTGAATTGGCTATCCGAAATTCCATTGTTCAATCAAATGGACCAGGTCTCTAGTGACTGATCCATTGCCCTTATTGATAACAGAAGAACCAGCAAATGACAAATCTTTGCACAGTAGCCAGGTGGGAATCACACAAGGCTTTGAAACAAAACGTCTCTTTCCCATCATTTTATTTGCCTTACTGACTTACTTTTGCGGTGACTGCCAAAAAGGAAATGGAATTGATTGCTATGCTTGTTGCTTAAACGAATCAAGCTTTTCAAGATCAGCTTCATCGTTTTATTTGGGGTTCATTTGATTAACAATTTCAATTTAATTTAGTTTAGCCAACGAAAAACATTTTGATGAGCTTGCAATCTGGAGCCCATGTTTTCCTTCAAGATAGGAAGAAGCATATAATTTGATTCGGGAACGTAAAGAGAAATCGCACAAAGGCCATTAGTAGTGTAACCCTCCAGTTTACAAGAGGGAGGTAGTTATCCAAGGTTTGAAACCTTTTTTTAATTTAGGCCATATTATTAATGGCAAATTTATTCACAACGAAAATCATTTGGCACTCAATTTAACCCGCTCCCCCCCCCACCCCCCATTATACCATGATGGAGATGATCAAGAAGATCTCGAACAAAATGCACACTGTAAGGTTCCCACTGTGACAAATTTTTGGTCACAACATCGAAAAACGGTAAGTTATCAATGCAAGGCCTGCGTTTTAACAGTAATTTATTGTTCTTGCACACAAAACACTCTGGTTCTATAGACGGTCCATTACTATACAGACGAGTTATCCATGGTATGATTGGAACTTTTACAGCTATCCTAACCAAACGAGAAGGAGCATTACATTTTTTAGACGGGCAATTTGGTTTTTGTCGTTCATCGTGTCGGTTTCCGACTCCATCATAACGCACAAAATGACGATGAAAGATTTTAGGCCGCCAAAACAGTAAGATTTTTTCTTTTCTTGCCCAAGTTAAATGATTTACCTAATTTGCTTAGCTTTTTAATCAATTTGGAGAAGTACTGAGTACATAAATCATCTCAATGCTGAGACGAATAGTTACGAAACTAAATGGGATCTTCTTTAACTCTTTAAAGTCTAAGAGTGACCAGCGGCTAATTTCCTCTTACAAAATCAGCCCTGGATCACTCATTAGGGTCAAAAGGATGAAGGAAATGATCACCAACCAAAGAATCTCTTGACTATTAAACAAATTCTCCTTTCCAGCACCTTAGGAAATGTATATAGAACAGTATAGAGAATATGCATCCTGATGTTAGGATGTAAAGGATTAATCCAACTAATCTGATGAAGAGCCATCAATCACCGGTCGACAAGCATTGGTTGATGCAAGTGATTTGTGACGTCATAAGCTTCATCTTCTCCGTTCCTGCCGTTTGGCGGCAGAATGGTATCAGAACTTTGTAGAATCATTGACGACCTTGATACCTTAATTGCTGATATGTTTGGTTTTGCCGATCGCTGACACTGTTAATGCAGATGGGTGAAAAAAAAAGTCGAACTCGCGTAGAAATAATCTAGGAAATAATGACCTTACAACCACAATGTTGGACTGGAAACCATAAATAGAATCCACACACGCTCTCTCTAATCTAAGGTACTTCGACTTTAAGTTAAATCAAATCCGAAAAATAAACGACACCTCTAAAACACACCGGGAAATACTAAATCTTACTAAAGTACTTTTCGACTGAGTGTCGTAAAACCAAAATTACGTAATAATTACAAAAGCCAATGAGAAGAAATAAAAATACCCTGAAGAGCCAATGAAATCAAAGTAAAAACAAACAACTCGCCCACAGCGCGGGAAAACGTGGGTGACCGCGGATCGTGATAGGTGTAAGTTATGCATCAGATCGCCAGTGAGGGAGTGGCGGAGTTTTTTAGACCATTCATAGAGCAAAGTAAGGCAAAACTAATGCATTCTCGGATTATTTTCGACACTCAATTAAAAAGTTCTTTAAAAACTAAACGGTTAACAACTATCGGACCGCCTCGGAAAGTGTTATCAGAAACATTCATTAATCATATTTTGCCTCAAACTGAAGGCAGACCATCGGCCAAAACTGTGCAAGGTGCGTCGAGTTCCCCACTTGCATCTAAGCCTCCACCAGTCCCACTTACATGACTTCCATTGGTAGAAGACACCGGCTTCCAGTTCAAGGATCCGTAAGTCAGCTGAAACATCTACGCAGATATCCCTGTAGGAAAGGCGATTTTCATCATACGACACGCTGATTGGAAGACTTCCGCTTATCAAGTGTCCGTCGCCGTATACCCCAGCCCTTATAAGCCATACGGATACGGATCCTTGCAAAGTGGCTGTTACTGATGCATAGGGCGTTACCTGAAATGACATGTAAGAGCTTTTATTTTATTAATTCATTTATATATTTGTATGATTTCATGAAATCCATCATTCTTTACCTGTCTCTTACATCATCGAAGTTGTTGCTGACAGAGAGAGCGATTTATTATTCATCCTGTGAGCCATTTTACCCGTTATAAGGACAACGGAACCCGAAAATTATGCCACATTATTATACTGTAGAACATGTCAAAAAATAAGATGGAAAGCGGAGCAAAAAACATGGCCGCAATGAACGATTCACATTCAGATGTTTTTGGTTTTTTTTTGAGGCTTGACTTTTTGAGCATTGATCTTTAAGAGCGCTTGTCTGTAAAAATCAGACAAATTCTAAATTTCGCGGCAAGGGTGAAAAATTCGATTTCTTTCTTGTTTTAATATTAGATAGGCTAGACTATAACTAAAATCACTGGATACTTTTTTTGGCAAAATATCTTTTTATTTCAGAGAAAAATACAAATAACAAACTTCCGTTAAAATCGTCATTTTTAGCGGCAAATTATTGCACAAGTTTGAGGGCTTCACATTCAAAAACGAATCACAATCTCGTCTTTTTAACACTCAAATCTTCTTTTTCAACCTCATAAGACCTCACAAAACGATGTTTGTAAACACTGCGTTCCTCTTTGCCTGTAAAATAATTTAATTTCGAAAGCATACATTTCTCTTCAGTGAAAGTACTTTGTGAGTAAAGTTAATTTTCAGCATGTGCTAAACCTTCAAATGGATTAAGCTTTGGGCGGTAGAATTACGAAAAGACGTTTTCAATATTACTGTAAAAATTTTTTTGGGCAAATGATTGAGAGCGATACGAAAGCTTTTCAAAGTCCGTTAAAATGCAGTTATTTGACCTTTCGCGATCAACATTCCAGTCGCGAGCCACACACATACTTTAATATGATTCAACCCATATGAGGCCGGAAAATGTACATGGGTACACATTTCCAAATGCTCTAACCTCATCTGCTTTAGAAGAAAGATCCAAAGACCATTTTACTATGGTTATCTTGTCGCTCGTCGTATTTATAACGTCTGATGAAACTGCCTGTCAATCTGCGAACTGTCACCAACCTTCGTTATAAAACGTTTGACATCTTTCTGCACTGTGGCATCTTTTTCAGCGGTTCAGTTGACTGTGAGTGTTGTTCAATTTGTGGTGCAGTAGATCTGATCGATGCTTTTAAAAGTGGCACTACACATATGTTGCAGTCAACGTAGTTTTGTATACGGAGAGTCGTCACGCAATGCAAATCATACGATGGAAAGTTATTTTTTAGGGGGTAGGGGAAGGGGAAAGTAAAAAGACTTCACTCTGCTGCTGAGAAAGTCGCGGAGATCGGACCTTTGGCTAATACTCGTTGAAAAGCTAAATTTAGTACCTGCTAAAAATACTAAGCCTTAGTAAACAAAACCTGGTTTATGGTAATTACACGATGCCTATTGTTCGCTTAGAGGCGGGGCTTCGGACTTTGTTTTTCACAAATACATTAACTTACACGGTCAACTTTGTTACATAAAAAATGGAAGGTTGTTGTTCGTTCAAGTCGCTTATTGGCAGAGTTTGTGGTTACAACACTAGAGATCGAATGCGTGAAACGGAAATTGTTCCTTTACTTTGATGCACCAAGAATATCGCAAGTCGTGAGTTGGCTTTCAAATTTACCGGTCCTGAAGATAAGATCGACCTTATTTTGTGCCGAGCGCACATATGTCGGCCCCTCTGTAGCTTAAGGTTTTAGACGGTAGTTGGGTCTGTTAACAGCGGTTAATAATACCACTCCCTTATGCTAGCCCCACCCATTGGCCACGGAACATAGCACCCCAGCCTCACATAAGCCACACATCCCCACCGCTGCGTTTTGAAGCATGGTGTTTTAAAACTGTACAAAAGGTCCTCTTTCATGCTGTTAGAGTATTTCTTGCTATTTTAGTGGAAAGAAAAACACCCCTAATAAGTACGACAGGCACAGAGCGCCAAAAAAACAAGAATAATTCCCTGCAATAAATAAATGTATTTTACTGTTTGTCACCAGACAAAGATGACACTATTACAAAAATGTTTACAGAATAAAATATTTTGTAGGTTCCAAGAGTTCAATTCTGATAGTGCTTAATTATATGGAGTTTTGCCCTTCACCTACCCCCTAAAGTTCCTTTGTCACCGGTATTGCGTGACAACCCAAAGATTCAAAGGGCCTACATGTTTGTAGTCAGCTCAGTTTAGCATTGAATTAGACTGTCAGATGTAATCTTTTAGTGCCTTGTAAACTGAGCAATACTCACAGTCAACTGAACCGTTGAATAAGACGCCAGGATGGATGTACTTCTCCATAATGGTGACCAAAAGCCGTAACTTATCCTCGGAAGCTAATCCTTACAACAAGAACTAGACTCTTTTACCATTCCACATATTTTTTTTCTTGCCAAATGAGGTTAAAAGAACCATTGCCTATTTGACTCTGCGTCATACATCATGGTGTTCCAGTTTGAACGGCAAATATATGTAAATACTCTTACGACAAAGTTAATGCTAAAACAACAACATCGTTGCATATTAGAGTAACAGAAAAATTCCTTATTACAATACACAATACACCCAGATATGTTAATCATTGTTTACATTACATGTTAACCATCAATTCAGTTATATCTACTCACCGTTACGCTTAACCGGGATGGTGAGAGTGAGCCTGGGTCCACTGAGATGCTAAAAGATGGCTTAAGAATAAAATCCACATCAAGACTGACGACCCAAAATATCGGAATACTGTGGCTCTGTAGAAAAGAGAAAAAAAAACCAGTAAATTGCATTACATGTACATAAACTTTTTCAAACAGTGCGGTCATTACTTGGGCCTCCTGCGCAAAAAGCCTAAGTTTATAATTCGGTCGTGGTCGTCGTCTACCTCCCTGACAGGCAATTTTTTACGGCTAAATTATGTGGGGCTAAAGGTTTCAATATTATCCTGTTATCGTAGAATCGTTTAAAAGCAGTCATTATAGCGTCTATTGAAATAAGTAAAACTCAAAATCTAATACACGTAAATGAAGGCACACGAGCCACTGGTGCAATTTACTTTCTTCCATGCTAGTGCTTTTGTCGACCTTGTTTTTCGCAAACCGTGAGCTGCCTCCCAGAAAAAACCTGCCGAAATAGAGGCCCGATCTAACATCGACATTTTAAATTCAAGCACTTACAACTTCGACGTTTAGTCCATTTATCTTCTTTGTTTCTTTCTTAGTGGTGTCAATGGATTCTCGGAGAAGTGGCGCTGTTACACTGGCTCCCAAATGCAGAGTTAAATACAACTCGGTCTTGTCAAGCTTAAGGTTGACTAGCTTTTTAATTGATTCAATTCGAACAGTGGTCTCCACTTTCATATCTATGCCTATAATTTTTTTCTTAAAGAGTGTGAACGAAATCTTTCGAGGAGCATTAAGGAATTTTTGAACAAAGTTTTGTCTGCGACTTCGCTGGTGTCTTGAGTCGTGCGCTGCTGTTGTCAAGTTTGTCTCTCGCTCATCGTCAGCGGACGTGCTGTTCATTTCCTTTGAATCAACCGAAGGCTCATTCAGAGCCTCTCTCTCAGAGGTTTTCACCCTGAATGTTTGGTCAGATTTTGGTGCAACGAGTTTGACGAAATCACGAACATTAACATCTGCTAGTTCCTCGTCTTCAAGATAGCTTTTCCGGTACTTCTCATCATCAAGAAGAGTAACCTTACTCGTGAAAGAAACTTTCATCATGTCGGCTGTGGATCCTTTCTTAAACTGAACTGGCTCTCCGAAATTTAGTTGTTCAGTTAAATGGACTTCACCTTTTGTTACCACGCCGTTGCTCTTGTTAAGAACTGATGAATCAGCATATGACAAGTCCAAGTCGATGTCAGATGTCATATTGGTGACATCCGACCGATTGAATTTGTTTTTAATAAAAATTTTGTCATTTTGCGATGTGTTTGCTTCTCTGTGCATCTTCACAATTCCGGGAAACATGAAAGATTTTTCAGGTTTTGGCTCGGAATTTGGGTCTCGTTTCTGTCCGTCTACACGTTCGTAAAGGTTGCGCTCAACAGTTGGGAGAAGCTGGGTAAGTATGGCTCGGGCATAGCGTGTTAACCCCTCGTCGGACTCTGGATTTCCGTATAATTCAAAGGACTCATCTTCTTCGGTGGATTTTGACGTTTTCTTTACTTCAGACCTGTTGAAAACATCCCAATTGGCAATTAGCATGATACCGTGTTCAAGAAGTCCCATTTCAGGTTCCTCAACAATTTTCAAACGAGTCAAAATTGTGGAATATGAATATGACTAACAAAAAAAGTAAAAGGAAGGGAAATGGAATTGGGAACTTCATGTTTTAAAAGAGTATAGCTACTTATCCTGCTAACTCCTGAGGAATTCAAAGCCAACTGCTGATAGAAATTAGAAACACAGATTATAGCACTGGAAGAAGTTTTTGAGAAAATTTTGTCCTCTATTCTAATTGAGCAGAAACTTACCCGATATCTCTACGTGAAAATTAAGAACTGATATCCGTATCTAAAGGGATGTGGTTTGCGATGTATAAAAGGCTTAAAATTGGGAATCAGAAGAAGAACGCTTCTTTTAGACAAAGCATTCAATGTTGCAATACGACCCACCGTCGGTCAGATAGTGAAGATATACTCCTGTCTAAAAATAAATGTTGTGAATGCTTTATGAAAATAACTTCTAATAACAAAGCATGTTTTCTTGCTTCATATCTTAAGGAAAGAAAGAATCATTTTAGAGAGGGAAGTTTGAATTTCTTTTGGACATTTTTGGCTTTAAAAGTAATTTTTACAGACAATTCCGTGATCAGCCACCAACCCCCCCCCACCTCCCACCTCAACCTCAATTAACCGATAAGAGAGTTAAATGATACTATTTCAAACTGAAATTTCGTGACCGAATCAAAGTGAATCATAATTATACATTATTAGTTTGAGTAATAAGTGTAGCAATTGTCAGTAATTGTTCGTCTGGCTCTTCAGATTATGAAACTATTTGACTTAATTGCTCAGGCTAAGGTAGCGGTAAGTTGAATGGTTTTCTGGTTTCACTATGATATTTATAAAAAAAAAAAAAAAACCTCCATCAGGGCAAGCAATCATGCCTATTTAATTGCTCTCTGGTATTATCGACATGACTCAGAAGACAAATTCTTTCAAATGCTTTCTTGCTACCTACCTTGAAGTGCGCTCAACCCTAACCAAAAAATATAACGATCTTCCTCGGGTCACGTTACCGATTTTTTCCAAGTTTTCTCCTTCAGCATCAATACTGATGATCTTAAAAACGAACCAATACTCCTCTGATGTCTTGTTTATTACTTGAAGAGCAACGATGGTACTTAGTGTCCCTGAAAAAAATGACCAAATTAGCTAATACAAAATATAGAAATCTAGCACACTAAGGCACTTTGGCTGATAAACAATCCTTGTTGAGTTAAATTCGATCTGATTGCCTGTTTTCCTGACAATTGTAAGGAAGCAAGACATCAAGCTTGATGAATATGTAACTTCAATATCTAAACAGCAAATTCATTCTTCGAAGGATGCTGATTTTGCGTCGTAAAAAACCGGAAGTATAAAGGCAGCTCAATAAACCTCCCGGTTGATATTTTGAAAGTAAAACACCATATCAGTGTCTTTGGTAGGTTGACGGTTCATTAACCTTGACTTAACCTTGTAGGAAAATTTTAAAAAAGTACTTTGTTGCTCAGCTACCTCTCAAACAATCAATTGGATTAAAAAAAAAAAAAAAAAAAGAAACTTTTCTTGGATTTCGAACTGGAAAATCGGAGGTCCTAATGTTTTTGGTGGGAGTCTTGATTTAAAAGACACCAAAAGGTATACCAAATTTGCAGCCTATTTCTAAAAGAACGCATCGAGATGCCAGATGATGAGAGGTGAACTTCCAAGACTAAATGCTAACTATAGACACCTTTCTTAAACAACAATTATGACACGACTCTTTAATTTAATAGGGGTCGAGGATAAAACGATTTATAATAAGAACCAGCATGAAATGGCAATTTTAGATGCAAATTATTAAGTTAATGAAGAACCAATTGTCTTCATGTCACCACCAGAACTAGACAATAGATATCAGGCTAAAAAAACCTGTGCATCAACCAACCGTGGAACAATTAACAACTATTCACCGAAATGGAGGTGGCTATTGATGGATATTTAAGTGCCTTTCGATTATCCAAAATGCCTTTCAAACTGACATATTAAAGACTGGAAAGAGAAAAGCCACCTTCCGAAATCTCAATTGAGAATAAATGGACGAGTACTCTCCAAGTAACTCTGGAACTGATGACTAAACTGCTGGTGCTGATCTTATTAAATTTCTGAAGAAACAATTCCGTATGGCAGTATCAACAAAACTTACCCAGATCGACCATAAAATATATTCACGATATAGCCAAACTGGATTACTATGCAAATTCAATGCGCCTAGCCTGCACAAAAGTCTATTATGTCTACCCCGAACATTCGAAAGTAGATTGATATGTCCAATGCCGAAGTAAATTCGGAATTGAGCTAATTATGTGGGTATGCTGGGTTTAGCGTTCTAACGATGAATTTGATAAAAACAATTTATTGAGATGAAAAATTCGAAAAAAAAAAATTCCAAAAAACCACACTGAAGTATGCATATGCAAATGTCTTCAAATATATAATGCTATTTCAAATAAACATGATTTTCCGCGCAAAATCAAATCCAGCGCCTCAAAGTCACCGAAAAGGGACAGCAACAGAAGACTTAGGGTGATCACAAGACTATGTAAACCCCGTATTCTATATCTCTGTACGGCCCGAATTAGAATTCTTAACCTGAGATTTGATTTCCATTTTGATTGCCTGCTTTCAATGTTTTAGGAAAGCATATTCACTGTTCTTAATTATCTTGTAAATTGCAGAATGTGTCTGAAATCTAACAAAATGCATTGTTACCTAATGTCATCTTTAACGTAAAATGATTTTTTCGAAAAAATTGCCTATGCGACCAAAAAGGCTATTTCAAAATAGAAAATTCGTAAGTTTTAGCCAGCGACGAAAGGCAGTTCAAGACAGCATTAAATGCTTAATTAGTAGCGACATCAAATACCTCTCTGAAGCTCTCCACTTCGTACTTCAAGGACTTGCTCAACTTGATACAACAAAGTTTCACCTGGTTCCAAGTTGACTTCCACTAAACGCTCAGTAACTTGCTCTTTCCGATTCAACAAAGTTGCTGTGAGTATGGCTCCACCAACCACAAGTGCTATAACCGCAAAGATGGCAGTGATCCACATAATGGTTCGTTTTCTTGAAGCAGGTTTTCCTCCTTCAGAGTTATCTTCGACATAACCGTTGACTAGAGTTCCCTTGTTATTGTGTTGTTCCTTTTTCTCTGGAAAACCGTCCATGATCGAGCTTGAAGCTGTACGACCACTCCGTCCGTTCTGAAGGTTCAGTGTATTGTATGATCCTTTGCATTATTCTTGTTCATCCGCCATAGCTTAATCTTTTGTTTTTTAGCAGTGAATGACAGTGCGATATTTTTAGGTTTTGTAGTGTGACCTTGAAGAATGTTCTAGAAGTAGCTGTGTCCTGCTGAGTCATTCCCGAACGTTCTAGATCCTCAACCGTACCTATAAAAGCCGAGCTTGTAACTAGATGTAGCGAGTAGCTTAGTTGCTGGTATAGCCCGACAGATATCAATAAAAGTGTATGCTGCAGAATACAAGACGTCCACACTTCATGGTGTTAGGAAGTGGATTACAAAATTGAAGATAAATTTCGTCGATCCAAGCGAAGACAGGGCCTGGAAGGATTAACTGCTCTGGCTGATGACCTGTTAGTAACTGGAGCAGCAAACACCCATGAAGAAGCCTTGGCAGACCATGACAGAAATCTGATTGCGTTGCTACAGAGATGCAGGGAGCGATACTTCAGACTGAACACATATGGTTCGTCTTCAAACAACAGAAGTTGAAGTACTGTGGTCATATCTTGACTTCTGAGGGTATTTTACCAGACCCAGCCAGAGTTGAAGCCATCACTCAGATGCAGAGACCACACAGTAAGACTGGGCAAATTTTTACCTCAGCTGTCTGACGTACCTGAACCTCTCAGAAACCTAACCAAGGAACAAAACCAATTCATTTGGTCGAAAGTTCATCAAGATGCCTTTAACAAGTTGACTCAGTTGATTTCAGAACCGCCACTACTCCGCTACCACGACTTGGAGGAAGAAGTAACGATTGAGACAGATGCAAGTGACTATGGACTAGGAGCTGTTCTACTTCAAGCCGGCAGACCAGTGGCATTTGCTAGTCGCACTATGACTGAGACTGAGAGACGTTACTCTCAGATCGAGAAGGAATACCTCGCACTGGTGGAAAAGATTACAGCAGTCACAGATCATAAACCTCTAGAAACCATACTTGCCAAAAGTATCAACAGCGCGCCCAAGAGGTTACAACGCATGATGCTACGACTGCAAAAGTACCGCCTGAATATTGTGTACAAAAAGGGAACTCAGATGTACATAAGTGATCATCTGTCAAGATCTGCCCTCCCAAACGGCCGAACGCAAAAGAAGGAAATAGATGATTATGAAGTCTTTGCAATTCACGCAGAAGAACTTCTCATGAAAGAGATCGAAGGTACAGATCCAAATATCTTTCATAACATGACAGATGCAACTCTTCAGAAAGTAGCAACAGCAACCCCAAAAGATGGAAATTTCATGACCTTAGCTGAAATTATAGCTAATAGATGACCTGGGGACAAGACGCAAGTACCGCCCAATGTCCGAGACTGCTGACCGTATAGAGATGAACTAGCAGTTCAGGATGGAATAATCTACACAGGAACGAGGGTGCTCATTCCCACGGCTATGCGCCCACAGATGTTAGTCACCTAGGAGCAGAGGGATGCATGAGACTCGTGAGAGATACATTGTGTTGGCCATCGATTCATCATGATATAAAATATCTCTGCGATAACTGTTCAATATGCCAGGAAGCTAAGCCAGATCAACCTAAAGAAACCATGCAGAGCCAGCCTATTCCAAAGAGAAGATGTCAAATAGTCAGTACTGATCTTTTCAATGTGAAGAAAGACGTCTACTTGGTAGTGGTGGATAATCTCACAAAATACTGGGACTTGAAGCAAAGAAACCGAACAGTGGTTTCCACATTCATCGTCTTTTTTTATGAATAGGCGTAAGCTTAGCTGTTTTCCAACCGGAGAAAACTGTTTTATACTCAATGCTACTGCGATAAAGCCAGACCAGATAAGAGACAGTGGCGTTCCCGCAAGTCTTAGAAGCTTTTGAGGAGTATCATAAGGGCCCGTAAACTTATTAATTTTAAGCGTATTAACTTTGTCTCGAACCGATTGCGTAGAAACGGTAATCTCTGTGAGTGTTGGCGGCTCATACATTGTGTTGGCTATTTCCTCGATGGTTTGTTGCCCATTAGTCATAGGTGGTGGGAGTTCTTTGGCCAGCTTTTCCCCTATCGTTGAAAAATATGAATTCATCAGCTACGCTTTCTCCTCGTCAGCAAGCACAAGGAGCGCCATCGTATCTCTTCAGAGGGCCAATATTTTTCGTGTGCACTTTGGGACATGCGTCTTCATTCAACAGGTTCAAATAAGCGCTCGTTTTCTTAACTTCTTTAGACATTTTCGCAAAGTGGGATGCTTTTGCTCGTCTTAGGGCCAGGGTAACTTAATTTCCGACCATTTTACACTCCCCCCTTGGCTTTGAACGTTTGGTTGAGATCACTGTCTTGAATAACTTGTATTTCAGATACATTTTAAGTCTAATGTCGCTCGATATCCGTGATACCGCAGTACTTCTTTCTAGGGAGCATGATCCTCACAAATGCTCCGAAAAAAAAAGGTTCTGCCAAGCCCAAAGAATGTCGTCTGCATCGTCATTTACCATCACTTACCATCATTTACCGCACAAAACCTTTATTTAATGTTGAAGTCATGCAAAAATGTCGGCAGCTTTCAATTATCAGCTATACTAGTGATAGATATTTTTGTTTCAGCTTAACATACTCCCGAGTATAATTAACAACTATTCACAGAAGTGGAAGTGTTCACTGGTGAATATTTGGAGATGGTGCTCTATGCGTTTTAATCAGCGGAAGTTTAGTTTAAAGTCTCTCCCTTGGAATTTTTATCCTGAATTCAACCTCGTTCCCAGGGTCTCTCATCTTCCCGCCCCCTGGAGCGAGCGAGGAGAGGGCGGGAAGATGAGAGACCCTGGGAACGAGGTTGTCCTGAATTATGGGTAATTAGTTAAGGCGACGAGTTTCACGAAGCCAGTGTAGTTAACGTTAGATAATTCCTCAGCCTTAAGAAAGCTTCTCAGAGATTTTACGTCGATGAAAAGTGTTAAAAGATGTAACGTTCATCTTGTAAGCTACAGTACTATTCTTGAATTGAGTTGGCTCTCCAAATTCCATTGTTTAGTCAATTGGACTTAGTGAAGGAGGCTTTCTCCTTGTTCCCAGTTTACCTCCACCAAGCGCCCCAAACGTCGCTTTTCCTGGGTCAACAAAGTTTGCCGCCAGGATGACCCCACACGCCAACAGCAAAATAACCGAAACGACGAACGTGTTCCTAAAAACGTTTCGTATTTCTCTAAAAGATTATAGTTGCTCATAGCTTCCTCTTCCTTGTGGCGTTCTGGCAAACTATCCGTGACTGCGAAAGAGCCTGTCGAAAGAGCGATGTACGACTGCTTAGATCCTTCTGAGAGGTCAACTTATTGTACTGAGATCTTCCAGTCCTTCCGCAAAAGCTTGATCTCATGTCTCAGTTTCTGAATGTCTAAATATAAATATCTAAATATCTGAATGACAACCCGGGGAAGGGGAGGGGGGGATACTTGGGTAAATTTTCGTTGGGTATGGGCCACTGGCCTCTCAGAACCCTGCCCCTTTACAGTCTATTATTTGGCCAATCATAGATCACATCTTAGTAACTTTTAATAATAAGATAACAACTTCTTTAACCACAAATCTTCCCATTTATAAAATCCCCACCTACCAGAATTTTCTTACCCCCAAAATTCCCGCAAATATGCGACCCCGTTCTTGTAACTATCGAAAATGCAACCCCATCATAGTCAATCCAGTCGTGAAAATACGACCCCATCCAGCCACATCCCCATTAGCCTATTACCAACAAGCACCCCCCTCACCATTCCTTCGGGCAGAAAAAACTCATACTTCACGTTTATTCACATGCAGATTACCGATTATAACATTGCTAACAAAACTTTGTTTGCTAATATTACGTACCTGAATGATTGATTGCAAACCTGGCCTAACTTAAACCTCTAACAATAATTCCTAACATACACGAATGAATTACTTACTAACTGGCATAGTGGGAAACATGTTATTTCTGCAAATTACTACTACTACAAAAAACTACAACTTATATTCGGGAGGGGTCATTATCTTTCGCCAGGGAGGGGGGTAGGGGAATTCGTTTGTGTCGCGATAAAATTTATTTGATCTCCCCGTTAGGTTCTGACCCCGTTCCCTTTATTGGCAGTTAATTGGCCGTCAATATTAATATATCCCCCCTTAATACTTTGGCGACAACTGACCCCCTCCGTACGTGTTCGCGTTTCCCAATGAAAACCATGTTATTCCCCAAAAGTCTCCACCTCCCCCCCATGGCAATACAAACCATCAAGTTTTATTGATTTTATGTCTGAAATAAGTTTGCTCACTTTTCTTAACGAGGCTAGAAATTTGTTGCCGTGGCAATTACTCTCAATGTTTCAATTTCTCTTTCAAGTGAAAAAACACTCTGAAAAAATTCAAAGGTGAGAGAACTTTAGAGAACTTTGTGGTGTGGAATTCTTCATAATCATGCTCCTAATTTCAAAATCGGCTCATTTGTAACGGTCCGCAAGACCACCCCTTGAGCTAGACTCCTCTTGGTTTTGTAGTTAATACTTGTCGTGAAAAATAGGATCGATCTCACTCTTTCCTTTATACGAATAAACTTTGCTCCCTTAAATCAGTCCAAGAATTATCACTTCACTTCTCATGTTGCCTTTCTTGTACAAAAATACGAAAGTTCATCGCCATGGACCTTTCGAATTTAGCCCAAGTTTCACGGCAATCTCGTTATGAGGGCTTTTCCCTACTTGCAAGGGAAAAGCCCTGGTAACGAGTTTGGTTTCACGAGATATGCGTAAGGTGACCGCAAAGCTTAAGTTTTTTTCCGTGTTCAAATATTTCATCAGGTACCCTTTTTCTAGAACTGTCTTAAAAAAAAACAAAACAAAACAAAACAAAAATAAACCCGTGCTTCTTTTTGTCATGGTAAAATGGGTCGTACCTTTTGATGTGAGCTCAATTTAAAGATCTTCACTTTTTAAGTTTAACCACTAAGTGATTGGGACCAAGATACTTTTCTCTATCATGCTTCTGGAAAACATATTTTTATTTGATCGACTTCTAAAGATTGATGCTTCTGCTGTTTTGTTCATTGAAACTCACAGGATAATAGCCGTGTTTACCACATGTAGATTTTCCCTTCTAATCATGACGTCCGCAATTTTGAGATGAAAACCCACTCAAAACACTAAGAGGTTGCGTGACTTGCATGCATAATCACAAACGACAAGCAAACATGACACATCAGTTTTCTTATTTGCGGTCATCTGTACAAAGGTAACGCGGGCTCTGGGTTACTTCTATTCAAGTCGCCTTAGTTCCATCCCATCAACTTATCTGGTGTCAAGAAGAAAAGCAATTCGTTGTTTTATTGAAGTACATCATGTCGGAGAAAGAAGAGTTCATTAAGGCGCAAGTGAAGGATAACAAGGTCGTTGTTTACTCCAAGACCCGCTGCCCTTTTTGTAAAAAGGCGAAAGACGCGCTGAAGGCTGCCGGATTGAAAGACTACCTCCTGATTGAGTTGGACGAACGCGATGACGGGGATGAATTTCAAGACGCCCTTCAAAAAATTACTGGAGGCAGATCGGTAAGCTTCAAAACATTCGTTTCATTGCGTTTTTACGAGCTTAAGAAATACACAGTGAAAATCTGATAGGAATCACCTCTCTTCGGAATTAAAGACTGTTTGATGCCTCGACCGAAATTGCAAACTAATCGTCTAGTCGATCGTCGAATGAATTATGCAAAATTAAACGCGCGAACGCCTCTGAAATATACTTATTCCGTCAGTAAGGTAAATTGATCACCAAAACGTCTTGAAAAGGGTTGGGTATTTCTTTTTCGGTCTTTCAAACTCTGTAAGATGTTTGTGTGTTCTCTTCAGGAATGGTATTTTTAGTACTGACGTTTTACAATTCTTAGCGGTTCGTAATGATCGAGCAGTCACGAGTCTTGTATTCTATGAAGGGCGAAGATCTCATTTTAGTAAGACGTGTGAAGATCAGGAGGCTTTCTTATTTTTGTTTTTTTTGAAAAAAAAAAGCTTTGAGTGAAGCAAGATTTTCTCTGGCCCTACTTCACGACTTTTTCTCTATTTTTCAGGTTCCACGAGTGTTCATTGGAGGTACTTTTGTTGGTGGAGGAGATGATGTCCAGGTGCTTCAAAACAAAGGACAACTGAAGCCAAAGTTAGAGAATGCAGGAGCTTTGTAATAATCAAATTCAGTTGTAAACAAATGATGTTTCAACGGAATGTAACAGTTGCGTAGAATGTTGTTTATTTTCAAGAAACAGTACTATTAGTAGAAGTTTCACCAGTCACAAGTCTTTTTGATGTGTAGTAACAGCCTGATTATGTGCAGATTCAAGTCAGTAATAAAGAATTTGCAACAAAAATTTCTTTGCAACTTTATTTTATGTTTGATTTTCACTTTCTATCTGTAGCCCCACATTGAGAGCAACTTTTGGGACACATCAAGTCCCATATTTTATGTAGTCTTTATCTGTTTGTGTTAAACATTGTTGAAAATGATTCCTTGTTTTAGAATGGCCCCTTAACCTTTAAGATCTGATTGTTAACTTTCTCCTTTAGCTGCTAGAGATTTTGGTGTCAGATTAAGATGAAAACTTATACCTGATCAGTTTGAGTATTCTCATAACCTGTTTGCTGGATAATTTAATAGGGAGAAGTCACATGTTAATCACTTCTGGGTTTAAGGGGTACATAAATTTCCTTAAAGGTTAGAATTGAGTTTCAAATCAAATGTGAAATGATAAGAAAAGGTGAAAAGTAATGATACATTCTCTGAAACCTATGGCTTGGTGGTCAAAACAATGTTGCATTTTGGGTTATCACCTCATGATCAAAATGTTTTCTAACATCCTCAGTGAACTGCATCAGGAGTTTATTTTTGGTTAGTTTTAAAAATGGTTGTGTTAAGAACTGGATAACAATGTGCCATTTGACACCCACATTGCATATGGAGGCTAGGTGCCCAAGGGGCCCAGGGACCACAACCGCAGTTGCACCCCAAGGCGCTTGAAAACCTGACTGGCCTGTCCACCTGCACATTGAACTCTTAGTGCACCCAGTAAAATGCAGCAATTCCAAACCAATAATTTTCTTTAATCAGCTCTTTGACCTCCAAGAGTGACCAGCATTAAATTTCTCCCGACAATATCATGCCTGAATCAGACATTAAGGTCATGAGAATATGGGAAATGATCACCAAATAGAGAAGCCCTTGACTTTTCATACAAATTCTCCTTGTCAGCACCTTATGAAATCTTTATAGAATAGTATAGAGATTATCTATACTGATGTTAGGGTGTCAAGGGTACACACTAAGCTCAGGAGCCTCAATTTTCAGTCTCAATTTAGCCTGCCATGCAGAAATTCCAGGGCATTTTAACTGTACCACTAATGGCATTCTTTTCTCTTAAAGTAGTGTAACCCTTTACTCTAAAGAGTGACCAGCATCTATTTTCTTGTAGATTATCACAGCTGAATCAAAAAAATTGCAAACATTAGGGAAATTAATGCTTCTTAAAGAAGCTTCTGTCATTGTTAAAGAAATTCTCCCCATCAAAACCATAGGAAATGAGCTGGGAGCAGTAAGGAGAATATGCTTGTTGATGTTTGGGTGTAAAAGTGACTGGCATCTTATTTCTCCTTACCTCATCACCCCTGAGTCAAACATTAAGGTCAGGAGTATAAAGGAACTGATCACCTATAAAAAAAAGCTCTTGATTGTTAGACAAATTCTCCTTGTCAGCACCTTGGGAAATGTTTAGAGAACAGTATGGAGAATATGCATATTGATGTTAGGGTGGAAAAGGTTAACAAGTAGACACTATTTCATGACTGGGCGTTAAACCGTCCACAGAGCAAAAGTTGAGCCATATTGTATTTAAAAACTACCCAATTCAGTGAAGAGCAAAAGTTTTTCACCAGACATTTCTATAATTTATTTTATATCATACTGGTGTAAAATTAAGCTGAAAAGGTACTTTACAATTTTGACAATTCTATTGTGATCTGTTGCAGACTAGCAAACTACTTTTCATCTCTTAATTAAAATGGTAACAAATATTTTATGTGTGTTGAAAAGACATACTGTGATTAAAAGTGAAATAAAAATCTCATTATTATTTAACCAGCACTATTATCCAACTGCACTGAGTAGAGTAGAAATAATGCACCCATCTAGTAAAAATATCACACAATATTTGAACAGTTGGTTATTTTGTAACTGTAAAAAAACCTATTTGATGGTCAACTGCATGTGCAAAGCTTCTCTATCTGCTTTGTTTTTTACCACCTTTGACGAAACGCACAAAAATAAGGCAATTGGATAATAAATAACTTATCAGACGTTTGGTGCATTACATTTTCACTCACTACAAGGGCTTGTCAAAATATGGCAGAACTCCTAAAAATACTCAGCTATACTGCAAACCAAATTGTCTAATAAGAAATATATATATATCTCAATACATGGACACACCATGATGTATAGAAAGGCTGTGGCCACTTCATTCCCCAGGGCTAAAAACTGTTCTAATTTCATATCCAAACTCATTTTTGTTGGAAGGTTATACAGGCATTGAAGCTGGAATATTTTCAGAGCCTGAAGAGGGGAGGACAGGGGAACTGTAGCCTCACAAAAATAAAAAAAAACTTACCCAGGAGAGGGCAACGTAAAACTGGCTTGGCAAAATATTAATTGCCATGATTTTCTCACAAACTGTCTTGTTAGGATTACACTTGGTGTAATAACAGATTGTAAGACTTTTTCTGATTACAAATACTTGTTTACCCATGGTTACAAATAAACCAGATACACTACAAAAATGGAGATTTGATTGTGCCCTTAAACAATGTGAAGGAAATTCTAGGAAATTTGAGCAAAGGGTATGCCTATAGCTGGGTTGTCCAGAGCAAAACACTACCTGTGACTTAAACTGTTTGATTTTAAAAGCTACCATCTCTCAACAATTTTTTCCTCATCAATCTCAATTTCACCCCACTCAAGGTCCTGCTCCAGTTTCAAAAAATCAGGTGTAGGTGGAGTGTCAGCATCTGATGCAGATGCTTGTATCACACTGGCATCTTCTGTATCTGATTTCATTTCCTGATTGTTTTCTATGGTGTCAGAAACTTTTTTGTCTGTCTTAAGTTTAGGCAAATTTGCCGTTTCTGCCAGCATTGTATTGTTATGAATAGAGTTTGCACTGTCATCTCTGTGTTCTTGCTGTGCTGAATGATCAGTAGAAACATCTTGTTTTTCATGTGCTGGATTTTGTGGTGAGCATTCTTGTTTATCTTTATCACTGTCTGTTGTAACTATGTCATTAGCTCTTTCACCAGTTTCTACATCTTCTAGATTGACTTGTGCCCCTTCACTTTCCTCATGCAAGTTTTTGATTTGATCCTTGCATTCAACTGCTGCCTCTTTCTTATCTCCTGGAGATTCATGCAGAGCTGATATGACTGACAGGGATGAATCTTTGGTAGTTGTGGATTCAGGCTGCACTTGAGAATCTTCATTAACAGCAAAATCATCTTGTAAGCTTTCCTGAAGTTCTTGCTGAGAAGTTCCACTATGTGGTTTGTCACTTGTCACTTCTGCTGCAGATTGCTGATTTTTCTGACTATCTTCACTAATACCATGCTTATCATTACGTCTTTGTTCCTTTCGTTCTCTTTGAGGTTTGGGTTTATCAATTCTTTGTGAATTGTCAGTTGATGTTTCCATAACAGCATCTAAACTCTCTTCTTCTTTCTTTTGATGCAGAGGTACAGTTGGTTCTTCATCCCAATTCTCTTCCCCAGTGCCCTCACCATTAGCTGTGCCATCCTGGTTGTATCTTGCTCTAGTTTCTGTTTCAGTTTTTGATGTGGTACTCTTTTTTTCCAAAACTTCACTTTGACTGCTACCTCGTTGCATTTCAGAAGCTCGGGTTTCATGGTTGTCATACTGTCTAAATCCTCCTCCTTTATGATGACCTCTGTGTTCTCTGTGGTAATTGTTCCCCCTACTATCAATGCCCCAGTCTTCTGCACGACCATGACCATCATGATGTCTTATATTCCTCCCATTGTCCCCAGATTCTTCAAATACCCACATCTTCCGTCTTGCATCCCAGACCTTTTTCTGATCCCATGTACGGCTCCAGTTTCCAGCCTTCTTCTGACGAGCTTTCCTTTCTTCATCAATCTTCTTTCTCTCATCCTTCCACTCACGATACTGTTGCCGCTCTTTCCCTGACATAGTCATTTCCATAGTATCTCTATTTCTGCCTGGTTGAAACCCTTCCTTCTCCCTTTGCATTCGACCGGCAACTTTGTTGAAATTAGCTCCACCCCAAGAGTGCTCATTCCGCCCTGTCATTCTGGACATGTCCACTCGCTTGTCATCCATCAGAAACCTGCTTGCAGAGTTGGGATTCTTACTTCCTTGTTTCCTCTCCTCCTCTTCCTTTACAACATTTTCTTTCCGTTTGGCCTCCCACTGCTTGGCTTTCAGTGTTTCTTTCCGCATTTCCTGCAACATTAGCCCTCTGCCTCTACCTCTCCCTCTTCCAGCCACCCCTCCTGGCTGTGATGAATCCTTGTTCACTCCTGATGTACCACTCCCATGTTGCTTCTTTATTTCTACTAACTTGCTGTACACATCTGCATTTTTACGGTCTTCTTCAATCTCCTTTTGTCTTCTCATGAGATCTTCATTTTTCTTTCGGATTATTTTCATCTTGGCTTCCACTAACTCCTCTTTACTAGCCTTTTCTTCTGCCTTCTGGGCATCTGATTCAGCTTTATTAGGATCAGTTTTTGAAGTCATTGTGGAAAATTATCTTCATCAACCACCTAAAATAGATTTAAGTCAAACTCTAGTAATCATTTCCCTTCCAGGAGTGATCATGCATTAAATTATTGCAACAAGATCAATACACTATCAAGGAAACATATAAAGAAGATACTAGGAATAGGGGATATTGTTTCAATTTTGCACCATGTTTGAGCGATTCAGTCAAGCACACAGAAAGGTTTTTTAGTACTGAAATTCAAGGATGGCCTTAGACTATTGGTAAAATTAATTGCTGACGTTACAAAACTGAGCTTTGCCAATGAGTGGCATCACCAGCCACAAAGACAAAATTGGCTTTCCAAATGAATTACAGATCGTTTTGCAGGACACAGTAACAAGCAAGGCGGCATTTTTTCTGCAAATGACACACGTAGATATGAAGCACGATTCCAGTCTAATTCCCTGAGATCAATGAGACTTGTTTACTTTTTCAGCCCTTAAAAAAGAAAGTTCTTCATATGCAGAAACTTACTACAGATCTGAGCCCAGTTGTTAAAGGAGCGCATAACGCCATCCAGCGGATAACGCTATTTAACGAATAAATCGCTATCCATCGGATAAACGTTAATAAAAGGTGTTGTGCTACCCTATGGATAGAAAATTATTTACTAGTCGATTACTCAAACAAATTCGAACAACTGGGGGCAAATCGATCAGCTGATGATGGACACTCACGATACTATGAAAACGATACCTTGTTGCTTACTTTCTCTATTTCTTAACATGGGTCAAGGAAATCAATCATATTTCGCTTTTCTCAGTTTCTGAAGGATCTTATGAAGAAGCGATCTGATCGAAAGCATCATCAATTCGATTATGATCAGTCTTTGTCTTGCTCGCCAAAATTACAAGCTTGAGAACAACATGGAAACTGTTTCTAAAACCTTACCGATCGGCGAATCGCTTACAAAATCATTGAAAATAAGGAGTTAGTATGTGACAAGAGTAAAACTAAAAGCCAAACTTACTTTTTCTTTCCAGAATCACCAACGAAAAATCATTGTTAGCATTGATAAGAAAAAAACAAACGCCATTTTGACCGTGCGCCTGCATTGTTTCAGCGGAAGGGTGGCGCATGCGTTTCATACGATTGAAACGCGGGAATCGAGATGGTCCTGGGAGCGCGAATCGTGGCGCGAGTATTTTGCTGATTTTCACGTAGATTTCGTCCAGAAAACAGCTGATTCTTCCATTTAATAGATATGTATGTCACGACAGAGTGAAACACCATTCATGTTGTCTTGGTAATGGCGCGATCGAAGCGTAAGTCTTCAAAGCAAGTTGGCGAGGAACCTTCAGGTGCGCACAATCAAGTTGCAGTCTGTTTTGCTCATTTTGGGCATTGTGTCGATTGTCTCTTTTTGAGTTTGAATTGTTTGAGTTATAGATTAAGGCGAGGAATGTATACTTCCGAACACAAAAGGAAGGCGAAGGGGCAGGTGGAATTCCCAGCGGGCGGAATGCTAGTATTTTTTGCTTCCGGCTGGGGTGCGGTTGGAATCACCCACTTTGCTGCTCTCAGGCTCTTCTTAACGTTGCACGCATATATAACGAAGAAAGTACTCTTCTATAGTGTTGTCGGCCTATTTTAACGGGAATATCTTCTTTAATCTTTTTTCCCTCTCAAAGCACAGATCGAACGTATGTGTAGTTTGTAGGGAGATGGCACCTTTTGCATCTTGGGATTTCAAGGGATTGATGTAAGGGGGTTTTGAATTTCAGAGAAAAGAGAATTCTTTGCGAAGTACCCTAGGGGTTGATGGTGGAGGGACAGAATTGATCCTCCAGGAGCATCCCCCATCCTGACTTTAAGAAACACCCAAAGGGAACACAGAAAGTAGTTGGTGCATCATGAGGGATGGGAATGCAAAAAAAAAAAAATGTCATGGTATTACATTTTCCAATAAATTGTAAACCATGTGAACATGTGTGGTTGATGATAACATGAAGACGTTGAATTTCTGTTTATTAGAAGTCCAGTGCTTCATGTTTGCATCAGCCATGACAACAATCATACTTGCAGAAACTGTAAATGCTCTTAATTTGTCTTATGAGAACAATATCTGTTTATTGAGTTAAGTAAACAGAAGTCAAAGTAACACCATTCACCCTTTCACTGCCATGAGTGATCAAGAGAGAATTTCTCCTTACAATATTAATGCAAAATCAAGCAAGCTAGTGATGAGAATAAAGAAAAATGTCAATAGGGGTTTATAAATTGATCTGATACCAAAATTTCCAAAATCGCATAAAAGTTGATGGGGAAAATTGCTAGTTAGATCCGGAAGTGGAAGAGTGAAATGGAAACTTTACCCTAGCAGATAAAGGGCTGTGAAGTTTATTAGAGCCAGGGAGGCTTTTTATCTGGTGATTGAGGCAAAACTAATATCTTGAATGTACTATACCTTGAAACAATTCTTCAGGGTGTTCAGTATTGATAAAATAAGTCTTCTTAAAGAAAGGCTGCATGTGTAATTAAAAAACTATGTCATGGTATTGCTCTTTCTAATAAATTGTAAACCACTTGAACATGTGTGGTTGTTGATAACATAAACACATTAAATTTCTATTTATTGGAAATTTAATGCTTTATGTTGGCATTAGCCATGACAACAATTATACCTGTGGAAACTGTAAGTGCACTTAATTTGTCTTAAAAGAACAACATTTGCTTATTGACTTAAAAGTAACACCAATAACCCTTTATTCCAATGAATGATTAACACAGAATTTCTCCTTACAATATCAATGCAACATCAAACAGACAAGTAATGAGAATAAAGAAAAATATCAATTAAGGGATGGTTGGTTGATCCATTACCAAATTCTCCAAACTGACATAAGATGAATTGTGTGCAAGACAGTAAGGAGAATTACAGATTAAATCTGGGAGTGAGAGGGTGAAATGGAAAGTTTTCCCTAGTTGATAAGGTGCTAGAAAGTTTATTGGAGCCTAGAAGGTTGTTTCCTGTTGACTGAGGCAAAACTTACATCATGAATGTTCTATACCTTGAAAAAATTCTTCAGGGTCTTCAGTGTTATAAAATTACTTTTCTAACATGAAGATTGCATGTGTAATAAAGAAAATATCATGGTATTGCACTTTCCAATAAATTGTCATGAACATGTGTGGTTGATAATAACATGAAGATATGAAATTCCTATTTATTAGAAGTCTCATGCTTCGTGTTTGTATCAGCCACAACAATAATCATACCTATGGGAATTGTATCCACACTTGATAATTCTCATGAGAAGAGCTTGTTCAGTCAGTGAACATTTCTTTTATCCTCATGACTTTAACCCTTTCCACCCTAACATCAGTATGCATATTCTCAATACTATTCCCTATACATTCCCTAAGGTGCTGATGAGGAGAATTTGTTTCATAATCCAGAGCTTCTAGTTGGTGGTCATTTTCTTTATTCTCATGACCTTAATGTGTGATTAGGGGGTGATTTTGTAAGGAGAAATTAGATGCTTGTCATTCTAAAGTGTTTAAAGGGTTAAAAGATCTATACAATTGTGGGGGAGATTCCCAGGGTATAATCTAACTCAAAGAGCTCACACCTTTTTTTTTTTTTCTTCAATTATACTATAGAAACCAAATTTTTCTTGAGTAAAAATTAAGTCCTTGTTCTTTACTGGTTTTCTGTTTCTAATTTTTTTTGTCACCAGCTAAACGATCCAGACATGTTGCTGACACTCCCAGAACAAAAAAGAAGGCTGAGGTGGAGGAAACACTTTTTGATACAGTAGTGCAAAAAGCTGGTCTTCAAGTGAACTCGGGCCTGGTGCAAGATGTTTTAGGTATAAGAATCTATGTATTAACTCTTAAACTCTCAAGTCTGACTGTTAATTCTCCCATCTATTAAGAAGTAGTGACAAAACATCATTACTCGCCAGTTTTACTTATGCTTTTATTGTCTTCCAGAGGTTGATCGTGCTATCTTCCAGAAAAAAGTCAGAAATGCACTTAAAACTCATGAAAATTATCCAGAGGTAATTTATTTTTGAAATAGAAAATAACCTTCCCTATTCTATATGATGCTTTATTGTGTTGCTTCAATTTGCTCTTTTGATCTTGCACCTTCAGGTCATAGATGACTTCCTTGAAGGATTGCAGAATAGGTTGGATGATGCTGACAGGTAAAGACTGTACCTAAATTGTACTACATCAAGGAGATGAGATTTTATATTAATTAATTCAATTGTTCACAGAATTCTTAATTGCCCCCTCTTTGTTTGTTTATTTTTTTTTTAACAGATTTCGCCTCAGTTTGCTTCCAGTTTCTTTGGCAGAGGATGTTGAAGGGTTGGTATTATATGCTTAAAAATTGCTTATTGAAACCAGGAAATTCTTATATGCCACAATGTGGAGTACAGCTCAAAAGTAAGTTGACTCAAAACTCAATCCTCAATCCTCGAAGCTTTTGCTGATCAAGTTTTAAGGGACTGTCAACTTAATTTTAAGTGGTACTGTATACCACGAGCTGTTATCTAAATAATGAAACATTAATGATATACATGAAAAAGTTATGTGCTTGTGATTGGCTAAAAAGGAGTGCATTTTTCATGTAACACAAGTGCAAAGTTGTAACAGAAATATGAAGTTGTAATCTGAGTGCAAATTACATATAGCGTGCACCTGCTGCCATTTAAATTTCATCTGTCGTGACTTTTTGTGATGCGTTTTTCATGTAAATTATTAACAAGTAACAACATGATACCTCGCGTAGTTTGGTGTTAAAAAGCTCTAACTTCTAAATTTTTCAAAGACTACAAATTGCTCTCTTCCTATGGGCTTGCGCAATTTTGTTGTCTTTGAAAAATTTACTTGAGCTTATTAACACCAAATTACACTCAAAATCATTTAAATACCTCTACTAGAATGCTGAAAAAAAGTCCAAAAAAACAATTTTTCTCTTTTTTTAGGCATGTTGGGGGCCAGGAGAGTTTGATTAGAATGCTCTTGGGTATCGATGTACTTCAGGTAATCCTCAGTGCAGGTAGAACTTATTCAAATAATGGTATGAATTATTACAATTTTTATTCTCTGACTGCTCTGAATTTATCTATAAATATGTAAGCCAAATTTAGAGAAAGCACTAGTGATTAACAATCATTAAACTGTGTTATTTTCATCTCTTTCTGTGTGTAGCCAAAGATTGCCAGTATGCTTCTGGAAAAACTTCCAGAGTTTACAGAAGATGATTGCAAGTATGTGATACCATTTTCTCAGTGCTACACACAACTTTTGTGTATCAAATGTTGTTTTATTCCTAATGGTTAACCCTTCACACCCTAATATGAGCATTAATTTTCTCCTAAACTGTTCTTCATACATTTCCTATGACAGTGAAAAGGAGAATTGTACTCACTATTGTGATCATTTCTTTAATTCCCATCAGTGAGCCTTATGTTTGGTTCAGTGGTGATACCTCAGTGAGAAATTAGATTATAGTTACCCTCAGGTGTTTAAGGGTTAAAAGTTTCAGGAGTTAACCCTTCAACTCCCAAAAGTGATTAACATAAAACTTCCCCCCTATGATATCCCTACATTATTCAGCAAACAGGTAATGAGAATATTCAAACTTATCAGGTAGAAGCTGCTATCTTGATCTAGCAACAAGTTCTCATAACAAATTTACAAGGAAATGAGTAACAGCTAGAAGGGAGAATTAACAATTAGCTCTTGGGAGTTAAAGGGTTAAAATCACTGCACCTATTTTTCAAAAACTCCCTTAATCATATGTTGGTTTTCATACAGCAATGGCACAGATGATTTCAACATCCCTCGTTTGGTACTAAACCAGTTCAGATGGCTTGACTGTGTCATCCAGAGCAAGGTGAGAGTACAAAACTGTTAATTCTATGGAACTAATCTCCTTACTTTACCAGTAAACAAAAAGTCATGAGGTTTTTGAGCACAGTAGCCCACTCTGATAGAGTTTATCCTGGTTTTCTCGACATAAAGCCTCTAAGAGTGTTGCCACTCTGTCTAGAAGGAATGCTTGAATTAAAGGCAACACCCTCACTAATCAGCCCCACCCCCCCTCTGTTTCCTGTTTGTTCATCAGTTGTCCCTTGTACCTCTGACTATACTGGGATCTAAAAATAATTCACTCTTGAGTCTGGTGTACTTGCAAAATTAATATAACTTTCATTTGGATCTTTAGATGCTAAGAGTATTTTGTCGTTGGCCTTCATTTTAAGATATTCCAATTGATTACAATTGCATTCAAGCTAAATATTTCCAAATACTTGAATTAATTACACCTGCAACAAGCATATCCAATCTAGATCAAGGAGCAGAACAGCTAATTGCTTCATACCACAGGGATAGGCAAGGAGATTAATGGGTTCTCTTAGGCTTGTCAGATGTGGCCTGTTAAGAGATCCACATAAGTTTGAGGTATAATTTAACTGTTCCATGTATTTTTGTTGGAAATTTAGGAGTTGACTGAGAAGATGCTGGAGATTGTAGGAATAACATCAGTGGAAATTCAGTGTGAAATTATAACATGTATTCCTGAAGTACTGGATGATGCAGAACACACTGAAGTAGCAAGGGAACTTAGGTAATGAATTTTTTAATTTTTCTTTTTTGTGGCAAGTGGCAGGGGGGGGGGCATGGATGTTTGTGCTCACACTTCTATATAATTAAATTGCTGAAGCAGCAAGGGAACTTAGGTAATTAATTTTTTAATTTTACTTTTTTGTGGCAAGTGGCAGGGGGGGCATGGATGTTTGTGCTCACACTTCTATATAATTAAATTGCTTCATAGTGATTTAAGGCAACTTTAACCCTTTAACTCCTGAGAGTGATCAAGACAGAATTTCTCCTTACAATATCAATACAATATCTAGCAGACAAGTGATGAGAAGAAAGAAAAATATCAATTAGGGGATTATTAGCTGATCAAATACCAAATTCTCCAAACTAACATCACAAGAACTGTATGGTAGACAGTAAGGAGAATTACGAATGAGATCTTGGGAATTAAAGGGTTTAATTTCCTCTGAGAATCTTCCTGTCTCAAATAAGCTTCCCCGTTAATGTTTCAAGTTTCTTAATTGTCCTGCCACTTCCACAATGTTCTTCCTTCACCAGCCCCTTCCCCCCCAAAAACAATAAATAAATAAATAAAATTCCAAAATAGAAGCACTTTGTAAAATGATAATGCTGTATTAAAAATGTAAGGGGTTGTTGCATGATGCTGTTATTCATCTGGATTGGTGGTGTTTGTACAACCCCTCCTCCCCTTCCTCCCCTTTTCTAATAAACCTAAGCCTGCAGTTCTGGTGTCATTCGTTTCTCCATAAATTTCAGGTGATTGGAAGCAAGAGCAAGGTGGGCATAGGGCTGCACCTCTCATTTGCATGGACCTCACACTGGTGCTGTGCTTGCTCTCCTTGCCTGAAAATAAAAAAAAAATGGATAAATAAGAAATTAACACCTGTTTCGCAGACTGAATAAGCCTCCACCTAGAAGCCTTGCAAAGAGATTAACACTCCACGCTCATAAATTATTTAGAAAAAAACAGAACTTATTCAGTATTAAATTCTCAACAATAAACTTTACTTACCAAAATCAGAGTTTATGACAAAACTGGTTTGGAAATTTGATCTCAGTAAACTGTGTTTAATGTATCAGGTTTGATTTATGTTTTGTTTATTTGTCATTGACTGTGCACCAGCTGTTTTGTAATGTTTGATTTTTTACATAAATGTAAACTGTATGGTATTTATTTTGTTTAGCGAACTTCTACGTCAGAACACAGGACTTACAGTTCCAATCCTTGATGCTTTGTCTAACCTCAACCTGCGCTCTGATCTCCTGGCTGAGGTATATATTTACATCTGTATTTCTGGAGAAAATTGCACAGTGTACATGTATTTCACTGTTAAAGCACTATGTGAATAAATGACTGAGGAAGGTGGTGAACTTTGAGCTTGGTCATAAAATATGCAACAGTCTTCTATTGGTATTCATGTATTGATTGTTTTTGATGGTAATATAATCTTGATGTTTCAGGTGCGTGCATCAGTGATACAGATGTTACCCTCTGCAGAAATCAGTGACTTGCCAGTTGTGGTCAAATTTATACTTCAATCTGTTGGTGACAATGATGCGTTTGAGGTATGGCATACTAACAGTTGTGCAGTAAATTACTGGGAAATTTTTGCAGTGGGACTGAAAATTTTGCAGTTTTTGTACTTTTACACTTTGTCCTTGTTCTGCCATAAAGAAATCCTCACAGGGAAAAAAGAGGCATTAAAAAAAAAAATACTGTAAAAAATGTTGCTACCTTTAGTTCTTTCTCAGATTCTAGTTTTGCTTGATTCCTTTTCTTCCTTTTTTTTTTTCATCTTTTTCCACTTTGGATGATTTACATTGATTGTCCCCACAATGCCTTTGTCTTGTACACATAGGTGATTAGTGAATTACGTGCAAGCCTGGATTTCACATCTACTTCTCTGCAACCTGCAGCCTGCTCCACTCCTGCTGGGCAACGACTATCTTCAAGTGGAGGGTGGGTACAATTTGTATTTTGGCAATGAATACCACATCTGTTAACTGCACTGATAAATGATTTTATTTTTTTACCATGCTCACTTGTGAGATATTGAGTTTAACACTCAAAGTGAAATAAATTCCATATCTATGTGCTCCTATGTTTTATTTCTACACTATATATGACAATGATATCTGTCAATTAGATCAGCAAGTGATGGAGAGCTTTTTACACTTGAAGCACTTCGATCAGGAATTCGCTTCCAGAGATCAGTTGCAGAGGGTTGGATTAAGGCAAGTGTATTTTACTATTTACCGCTGATGACTAAATTTGATTTATCTTTATGTGGCATGATGAGAAACTTAGTTTTGTAATTTTGTAGCAATGAAATAAGTAATTACATTATCTTCCTCTTGTTTTGAATTGCAGGCCATTGAATCTGTTAACTCTCCTGTGAAACACAAGGTTAGTAAATGTAGAAAACCAAGTTGCACTTTACATACAGCTAGGTACCCATTGATGCTTAAACTAAAAAAAACAGTAATGGGGGTAGAAATTGTGGCCCATTATACATTGTGTATTTCTAATTACAGGAAAAACTTGTTGAGATGAACAGAAAATCTGTCTCTTTTGCACATTTAAAGCAAGTGTCTACACCAACTTTATAGATAAGTTTGTAGTTCCCACATTTCTTCACTCAACAAGATTTGCTTGTAAAGGAAGCAAACATCAGAAATAACATTGATAAGAAAGAGGAAGGGGAGGAAGGAAAAAAGAGCCCATCTGGAAATTTAGACATTTGCGGAGTGTTTTTACTCTACTCAGTTTAACCATGATTCCACTACACTTAATCATTACATCAATCAGCAGTTTTGTATCTTTCAAACACTTCCCTAGCAGTCACTGGTGCAGCTGTGTATTTAAAAGTTTTAGTCACTCTTTCTTTACAGGTTGTGGACTTGTTTGTGTTGCTTATTCTCCACTCCACTGCAAATCGAAAGAAGGCCATGGAAAGCTTGATAAGGAATAAAATAAAGAATGGTCATTTTACGGAAGAAATGTTGAGTGCAGCGTTTAGTTCACACTCACAGGTGAGGATGTGCAATTGTTGTTTGTACCAAGAGTGAGCTAAGTGCAGTTATTTGCACATGTTTTATATAGGGGATCATGCATGTTAGAGTCCTTTTTTTTATCTGAGACAAAGAGTACAATCTGAGAGGAGGATTGGTACCTATACCCTCTTAGATAGCTGCTCACCCATTGGGCAACTTGCAATGAAAACAGAAGTTTCCCTAAACCCAGGCTTTGTATGAGCACTTTTGTTGCACCCTGATTCAGATATATTACTATTAATAACTCTCTTTTCTGACTGCTTTTTGTTTTTCAGATTCTGAGGGAATATTTCCCTGACTTGTTGTCCTTGGCAGAAATTCTACTGAGGTCTCCTGATCCATCTGTCTGTTCATATGCCTGTTCTATGTACAAGTTATCATTTGCTTCATTTGACCTTTACTGTCAGCAGGTACTGAATGAAATTCTTTTTGCAATTTGCCCACACTCCCACCCAAAAATTGCATAGGTTGTATCTTGAACACTTCCTAAGCCAAACTATCCCAGCTTGGCTTAGCCTGCTGATCAATCATTTTTCCCATACCCTATTACAACTGAGCATTAATAGTGGAACTTGCAGAGCGTAGCCCCATAATTATGCAAAATAGTAGTAACCCATCAAGCCGAAAAAATTTGGTTGTACAACCGTTTGACTGTACGACGTACAACTGTACAAGGTGCTACTTTTAACATGCGTGGTCAACTGTATTGCGGGCACGCCAACACCACGGCTTTGTCCAGTTGTCAGTGCACTGGGCTCTGAGTTGGATGACCTGGGTTCTAGTCCTGGCCAGGGCAATGCGTTTTGCCCTGGCCAGTGCATGAAAAAAAAAAATGTGAGCTCCGCTTTTAGGCTTGGCTAAATCTATATGTTATGAATGTTGGTGAATAGAATACTTCTGCTACTGACAGTATAGTTCCCATTCTGTTTCCTCTTGTAGGAAGTGGTAGGGACATTAGTGACCCACATAGGCAGTGGATTTGCAGCAGAAGCAGATGCATCATTAGATGTACTTTCAGATCTTGTTGAATCCCATGCAGATATCATGGCCCCATTTGCTATATTTATTAAAGTAAGTGCAATAGGTTTTTAGGACTTTTACTTGTAATCAGTTTTAAGGTGATTGATGCAACACTGAACCATTTTTTTTTTTTACTCCAATGAACTTGGGAGAGCAGTGAGCTCATCTCCTCCAAATCTGTAGAAAATATATGTGCAAGTGACATACACTTTTTCTTAGCAACATGTTGACTAAATTGAAATAATTAAAAGAAAACTGGAAAATTGTTTACATGGAAACAAGGGTTTGACTTTTGAAAGAAGAAAAGGTTTTATGCCTTCTTTGGTAATTAAATACTGTTGGAACTATGCAACCTGTATTATTGTTAGATTGTTCAGAGTGTGTTCATCGTGATAAGTTCATGTACATGTGCATATGTTGGTGGCTTTTGTTTCCTTTGGGGTTGTTAATTTAGTGGTTTTAAACTTGTAAGTGCTTCCTTTATATTTGAGTGATTAATGCGTTTAAATCCTAAAAAGTTTTGCTAAACTTTTGACATAAGAAAGCCTTCATTTGTAAATCTTATAACACAATTTATGTTTTATTTAAGGGTCTGTTGGATTACTTGGACAATCTCACTGTAACACAGATTAGAAAGCTATTCAGTATGCTAAGTACCCTGGCTTTTGCCAACCAACTAGATGGAGGACTTATTCAGGTACTGACTACACAAGTAATCTTTATCTAAAGAAGAAGGTTATTTGACTGTTCAACATGATACTAAATTCTGCAAACTTAATTAACTCTGATCTGTTTTGTACCTTATATTTGACTGATTAATTTGTGAACATATTTTCTCAAAATGTAGAATTTTTAATATGTACTGATATTTTTTCAAGGATGACATGCACATTGTGATCAGGAAACAGCTGTCAAGTAATTCTGCCAAGTAAGATATAATGTCTTAATTTATGTGATTTGTACACTTTGTTGAAAGAATAACCCAATGAACTTTGCTGATCCAATAACCTTTGCAAATTAACCTTCACACTTTTTTCATGGACGAAGAGCTAAGGTTACTGGATGGTGTTCAATATGACTGAAATGTCACCTCCACCATTGATAACTAACTTGGACAACAGTTACACTCCTTTTCACAAAATTGTTCTGCATTTTCTTTCAGATACAAGAGAATTGGTATCATTGGAGCCATAATGGTTGTACGCAGCATGGCAAAGAAGAGGTCTCCACTTAGTTTATTACGTTTTATCTCTTTGGTTTCATTTATTGTGTTGCATATGGAGGTCACTTTTTCTGCATATGCTATCTTGGAAAGCCAAGCTGGACCCAGGACCCAGTGGAGTCTGACTCCATCTCAAATTAATTGAGTGATCATAAAAGTGGGAGTTTAATTTTTTAATCACAGTTATGATTATAAACTTACTATTATGAATCAGATGACACAAAGTTCTGTTACTGTACTAATCGCAACTATACCAAAATTATGGAATGTGACTGGTTATCTCCAGCCTGATTTGAGCACTTATGGGACAGTGTATGCATCAAGCTTGTAATTGGACAGTGTAATAGGACAGTAGTAGTACTACTGTAGTACCTGTAGGTTATGTGTCATGTGCGCTGGCCATTGTCCGGCATTTTGCAGAGTTAACTGATGTTTTTTCATGGAAATGTAGGACTGATGTCTCAAATTTTTCTCAAATTTTGTCAAAGCTTTGATTTATTGGTAGCATTTTTTGGCTTTGATGATTGGGAAAGTTATGCTTGTCAGTGAAAATCTTGTTGAGAGTTGATGAAAAAGAATGCTGTGAATGTGATGTTTTGTCTTTTGTTTATACAACAGATCTGAGGATGAGGGTTCTGAAGAAACAATGGACACTCAGTCACAACCAAGAACCACTCTCTCTAATGAAGTTTACAAACAGGTAAGTTTAACCAGAGAGGTGAAGGATGGGATGGTGTTCATGAGACTTATCTGAGATGGAGAATGATGGTTTGAACACCCAATTGCAATTCATTACTAGAGTCCTGTGACTCTGTTGATGACCTCTACTTGTGTGGTTGTAATTTCAGTCACTTCTTCTCAGAGGTTTCAACAACTTTTTCTATTCGTGGTTGCTAATGATAGGACAAAACCCAAACACTGAAGCCTGCTTACAGCCTAAACAGATAGTGGTGACAGGTCATTCCCAAACACTGGTTCTTCTTAGAAACTGACCCATGCTTCATGTGACTTGTTGCCAATTCAGCTTTAAACAGGATAGCAAGTTCTTTTGAGTGATGTTAAACTTTTGCTGTGATAATTTCTCTGCAGATTTGTAGCATGCTAGAAATGATACGTAACAGCACCAATCAGAATCCAGAAGCAGCAGCATTGTTTTATGACGAGCTGGCAAGAATTATTCAAGTTGGAGGCATTGATCCAAAAATTGAGGTGTTGTTACTTGTCAGGGATTGTTAAAAGAGTGAACAAGAATTTTGTATAATGCTACAGTACATTAAGAAATAACAAGAAAAAAAGAATTATTGCAGCTAATAGTAGCTTGTTCAAAAATAAAATGGGCTATTTTCATAATGCCCAAAGTCTCTGTTTTAAAAATTAATCTAAGAGATACACCTTTTATATTCAAACATTAGCTTAAGTATTGCAAATAAAACTCATTTTTCAAAACAAAGGTTTTGCTCTTTTTCTGATACGAGATATTAGGGTTTTTGGAACTCAATTTTGTTCAAGTTATTTAAAAGTGTAGTTATTTTATTACAGGCCTGGATAAGTGAAACAGTTGTGGCTGATTTTCAAGATGACTTCCTTGTGGATAGAGAACCACCCACAGAAAGGTAACACACTATTTGTTTCTGCATCAATCTATAGAAAATACTTTAAAAAAATAAATAAATAAAGATAATTTGGTTTATTATCATAGTTGATAATGTTAATTGGCCATGTTAGATATGCATTATTAACCAAAGGTGAGGTCAAGATGCCTGGATATTGGCCAAATTCTTTTTTGTGACTTTTTATGGACTGAGAAAAAGTTGAGGTTCTTAAAAACACACAAAAAAGAATGAGGCTGATATCCAGCAATCATGGCTAAACAAGCATGGTCAATAAAAGATAAATTTTATAGCAAAAAGATTTCTCTTTATCAAGAATCAAGAATGACTTGTTTAATTGGAGAGCCACGAAAGAAGGCAATTGTGTTTGTAACACTATAAAACCAGGAGAGTTGTTTATGTTTTTGTTTTGATTGCCTTCTACTGCTTTTTGCAACTCCATTGCCAACATTGTCCAAAAGTTACATCATTGTGAGTCTGCTCCGTGCAACATTTTTCATGCACGGGAACAAAGCGGACAATCTCAAGCAAGCAAAATGAGGTAGCCAATCAGAACACAGGATTTGCTTCATATTCCCCATGAGCACTGCCAGTGATGTATTAAAAAGGTTTTCTAAAGCTGATGTTTTTAGTGTTTGCATTGCATCAGAGCATCCCTTTGATGGAGGGGTGACCCTCAAAATGCTTTTTAAACTTTTCACAGTGGTCATGTCTTGGTTAACTCAGTTGATAAAACCTTATTATCTTGTAATCCCCCCCTCCACCCCCCCCCTTCCCCCATGGTGTACCACCTCTGCCACTTTAGAAACTGACCCCCCCCCCCCTTTTAGATAAATGAAGCTATAACTATGAACAAAGTTTTTTTTTAATGTGTGTTTTTTTAGTCTTGGTGTTCCCATGGAATTATCATATGCCTTGGATGAAGCAGAAGAAGGCAGCATTGCTGTCAATATGCTGCCATTACTTTTAGCTTCCAGAAATGGTGCAAAAAGCAAGGACAAAATTGACAGGTGAGGGAAAGAAAGAAAGAAAGTATACGATTACAATTGAAAGGATTGGTTAGGTCATTAAGTTTTTGGTAAGGTGCTTTCCCCAATTTGATTAGCCCCTATCTTGGGGCAGCCATTTCCTCAGGACTACTTGTAAAATATCATGGAGAAGGTGAGAGAAAAGGAACTTACATGTATGCTAAAATTTAGAGAAAGATGTTTTTGTCTGTCATGAGTGTGGGAAAAAATTCTGAGTCTGAGTCTGAGTCCCTATGAGGAATCAAACCTCATACCTTTGGATTGTGTGTTCTGATGCTCTACCACTGAACCACAGAGACACTGTGGTGAGTGAGGTCTATTACAAAGGTCATATGTGTCCTGCAAACTGCTGGGATCAGCAATGTCCATAGCATCATGTTTGTAAATTGAATAAGAGAAATGGTAAGTTTTGAGCTCGGTAAAAAAATAAAGATGTTTTTCATCTATTATGAGCATAGGATAAAGAAAAATTCTGAGTCTCCAAATTATTTTTTCTTTGTTCCACACTCGTGACAAACAAAAAACATCTTTCCCCATTTCTTTAAACTGAGCTCAAAACTTACCATCTCTCAGATTCTATTTATGCCAAAATTTGTTATTAACTTTGTTAACTGAGGTACCAAGACCTTCAACTAATAACAACTTGGATATTTGCACTTTTGATGTTGAGGTTGAACATTTTCTCTTTTAAATAGTGGACCAGCCTCACTCATATGCCTTGCACCTCATTTCCGCCTTTTGCGGGTCTGTGAAGAAAGTCAACACAAGGGAGATCTTGAAGGAATTGATGCTCTCTTAGGTAAACTACATACATGTGATTTTGGAATGCAACAAATTGTGCAAATTCAGAACCAAATGCATTTTTTTCATTTGATTTTCACAGCTATGGGAGAATCTTAAAACAATCCTTAATAATTCATTATTTCTTTAATTTTGCTTAAGACTCAGGGAAAAATCCTCAGAAACTTGTTCCAAGAATCTCGTTTGAAATTGTTTTGCCATTAGAGTTCAAAGATCTGATGCAATTACCTTCTCAGAACAAAAATTCAGTCAAAACTCAACGTCAGCCAAAGTTGTTATGACTGACAGTAGTTTAAATGTGTAGCTGCATTCTTTAATCAGGGGGTGGCTAAAATTGAATTTGCAAATGTTTTAGAATATGTATGCTTGATCTCTTTTTTTTTTTTTAGGGTGTCCACTTGTTAGTTTTAAAGAAGAGATGATCAAAGAAATAACCTCTTTGGACCAAGCAGATCGAGAAGTCATTTGTGGAACTTTGTTCCACACTGTAAACTGGTTCAGAGAGGTATGCATGTTTTTGATAAAAGAATGACCCTTTTACTACAGAAAATGTGTTTAACCCTCCAATTCCCCAAAGTGATGAACATGTAACTTCTCTCTAAAATATCCATACATTATCCACCAAACATGTAATGAGAATACTCAAACTTATCAGACAAGTAGAGGTTGCTATCTTGATGTAACTCCAAATTCTCCTAACCAATTTGAAAGGAAATGTCAAACAGCTAGAAGGGAGAAGTAACAATCAGATCTTGGGAGTTGAGTTAACCCTTTACCTCCCAGAGTGACTAGCATCTAATTTCTCCTTACAATATCACCCATGAATCACACATTAAGGTCATGAGAATAAAGGAAATGATCAACAGCTAAAGACGTTCTTGATTGTTGAACAAATTCTCCCTGTCAGCTCCTTGCAAAATTTATAGAGAGCAGTATGGAGAATATGTATACTGATGTTAGGGTGTAAAGGGTCAATACTGTTATGTTGCTGCATTTGTCAGCTGGCTATCATATAAAGACTGACCAGTAGTACCTTGTATAGCTATGTAGTCCTTTACCACATAACATCAGTATCCAAATTCTCAACATTCTTCTTCATACATTTCCTTTGGTACTGACAAGGAGAATTTGTTTAACAATCAAAGCTTCCAAGGTGGGTAGTTATTTCCTAAATTCTCATGAATTTAATGAATGATACAGTAGTAGAACTGTAAGGAGAAATTACGTGCTGGTCATTTTTAAGGTTTTTTTTTAGGGGTCAGTTCAAGGAGAAGTGTACTCCAGAAACCCTATTGTATTATTATTATCTTCACCATTAAGCAATTACTGTTTTTACTCAAATAAGTGCTCTTCCTGGTGGGGTACTTAATGTATGATTTTTGCTCATCAATATTGCTCTATCCTAATGGCTGAGAATTAATTTGCTTCACCAGTAAGGTTAAAATAATAATTTTCACAATCTTTCCCAAGGAAACTTGCTGCTTAACTTTAATAACAAAGGTTCTTTCTTCCTTTCATATCTGGTTGATGTGATTGACCAATTAGAGTCTTTTTTGAGTAGAGTACTGTATTAGCTGCATTTTTTAAAGCATGAGTTGTAATCGTGTGTCATTGTAACAACCATTTGATTGGTAATGAACAATCACTGAAACCTTTCACATTGTAGGTTGTGAATGCATTTGCATCCCAAGAAAGCCCTGAATTGAGAGGGAAAAGCATTGCAAGGATTCAAGGCATAACAGCATTGTGTGCTGTTTTAGAAAAGTGTCTTGCAGGTTTGATTGAAATTTCTCTTGTTATTTGTTATGCTCAAAGGTTGAATAAGTTATTGATTTTATATCTGTTGAATTAATTTTTCAGCCACACCTTCCTTCAAGCCTCCACTGGCTACGTTTGACTTTGAAGACTCATTGGTGACAAGTCCTCATTCAAATGGGAACAAGTCCAAGGCTAAGAAAGGGAAGAAGACTAGTAAAAGGTAAGCAATACCATGTTATTAATTTTTACTTTTTTGTTTTGCATCCAGACATTTTAGCCTTTTTACGAGAATCAGGAAAATTCAGCATAAAAGTTCGGCTGGGATTCAGTTCAGTTCAGTAGCTAAGTTGTACATGTATAATGTTGTTGCCTTTCTTGAATTCCATAATTTTTCTTTAGGTCCTTAATGCTAGCAAAAATGAAACTTTCCTCTGCTGCTAGGCTAGACATCCACATTAATTCCCCATAGAAAATTTAGTTTTTCTTTTTAAATGCACATGAACTCACAATTCTTTCGCTGTCAGCAAATACGACTAAGAGTGAATGAATTGTTTTATAATAATGATTGTTATTTGTACCTTCCTAGGGATTGACAGGATCAAAACATAAATGACATGCATGGCTAACTAACACATTTATTTGTTTTTTTTCTTGTTTCCAGATCAAGCACTGAAAAACCAGATGATTCTATAGAAAAGGTAAAGAATTTCATATGGAATTAATGGTAGCAGCAATACCCATGTATGCATTTGAATATTTCTCTTAACCCTTTAAATCCCATAAGTGACCAAGACAGAATTTCTCCTTACAATATTAATACAATATCAACCAGATAAGTGATGAGATTGAAGAAAAATATCAATTTGGGGGTAATTGGTCGATCCAAAACTAAATTCTCTGAACTAACATTATAAGAATTGTATGGTTTACAGTAAGGAGAATTACAAATTTGATCTGGGAGTTAAAAGGGTTAAAGAAATTTTGAATTGAGTGTTGATTGTAATCTGAGATTGCTTTGGTTTTGCTTTACTTCACTCTGTGATTGGTCCATTCTGTCAACCAATCAGATGCAAAACTAAAACCAATCACAACTTGATCACCAGAATTTTTCCCATACTTTAGTTAGTTTAGATTCTCATTGGCTTGTTTAAGTATTTTGCTTTCTTGTGACTGGACATTGTGAGCATGTTGGTTTTGGTGTTTTGACACTCACTTGAAAAGCACCCTTGTAAGCATTTTTATTGATTCCAAAGTAAAGGAAATCCTTGGAAAATCTTCCAAAATACTCTGCTTTCTGTGTTTATGTTCAACATACAACTGCTATAGGTCTTTTAGAGTTTTACATGATATTATGTTGGCTGACTTTGGTTGCAGATAAAAGATCTTGAAAAAGAAAATGTCGATGACAAAGAAATTGAAACACAAAAAGAAAGCTCCAAAGATGCAAAAGAAAAGGACAAGGAAAAAAGCCAGCGACCATATCTATGTCACAGTATCAAGCATTTCTCAGGTAAAATCTGGTATTCTATATTTCAGTGTATTGGCTGAATGCAGACTGAAGGTTTTAATTTTACCAACAGATCTCAGCTTGATGAAGAACCAACCCACTTTTTATGTTTTCATTTCTTAGTTCAATGAATGACTGAAACATTTTTTGGTTACAGTGCTTGGGCATATGAAAAGTGGCTATGTAAAACTGTGGCACAGTGTAATAAAACTATGCACAATTTGCAAGATGTAGCTTAGTAACTAAATAATTATACTTTTCATTACCAGTAGATTTTGTCCCTGGTTCTCATCTCTCCTTTAATTTTTTAAATTATTTTTCATAGAGAGTTAGATCTCAAGACATTTAGTATTTTGAAATGTGGACTGGTCTCCCGTGCAGTTTTGGATTCTGAAATGAATACAGAGGTTTGTAGATAGCTGTAAATTACAAGTCATAAGAAGTTGAAAAGTCACTTTGGAGTCATGTTTGAAAAATGATCTTTATTGATTGATAACAGAGTTCTAGTTGGTCAAGGAAATCCAGAAAAACATGGAATTTAGCGAAATTATTTTCCAGACCCAGAAAATCATGCAGTTCAATTGTGCTTCAAGGAAAGTCACGGAAATCTCTTTAATTGATTTTTTTCTGTGAGCAACAAAGCAAGAAATACTATGATGTAATGATTTATTTTGGGTCAGATGGTTTTGAAATGAACAGCTTAATGATGGATGGTGGAAAATATCAAATACTCTTAAAAAGGGCATGCTAAGTTGTGGAATTTTTTGAGTTTGTAAAGTAAAAACCTTAAACAAGTTTTCTTCCCTTACACAAGGCCAAAATGATATACAAACAAAGAGTTAGTCTTTTGTCTATTGGCACAGAATCAACTATTGATTAGGTACTTTTGTCACAATATTTTGAGGCACTTTCAATTGGTAAATGTTCTTTTAAATATGCACAATTCACCTGAATCAAAAACATGTTTGTGTGCAGGAGACTACTATAGTGCAACTTCAGGCTCCCCAGCTGGAGTTTCTGTTGGAGGACCTTTCCAGAAAACTTCAGTATTCACTTTCAGCTTCTGCTTCTTCAAGGAGGAGCTTTCTCAAGGTAAGAGATAAAAAAGTCTGCTTAGTGGTAATTATTCCTCTAATTGCTTGGTTCCAGTACTTCCAAGTCCCAAATGGAATGGTGTCTCTAACTCACCAAGGAAAACATTGGGTGGACTAGTACTTCGGGTAAATTGGCAAATCTGGGACAGTTGTGAAATAGTAAAATAGCTGGTTGTCTGGGATTTTTGCAACATATGAAAACCAGCCTTGAAAGAGAGCCTACCTTGACCATAATAAAAAAAGTTAACCCTCACTGTTACTCTCAATTTAAATGATAACCAGGCCTTAAGTCTTCGTAAATATGGTAAACTGTGCTCTTTAAAAACCTGTGTGGGATTCTTATTAAGAGAAGAACTGTAAGCATTAACTTAATTGAGATCTGCCTTAAGCCATTCCTTAATCTGTGGTGAATGACATCTTGTTATATCTTAAAGGTTCGTCAGGATAAACTGGTGGGTTTCTCTAACTTGTCCAGATATCCTGCAAAAGAAGTGGCCAAATACGTTGTAGAGCTGCTGCCAGTCTTATGCGAGCATTTAGAAGCCACCAGTGGCTTCATTTAGAAGCCACCAGACAACTTCTTTGTAATGACATTTTGACATTCTGACTATGGAACTGTTGATTGAATTTTACTGTAGGCATGTTTAAGGGGATGGATGTTTAATGAAACAAAAAGAAAACATGTATGTTCCCCACAAGGAATTGAACCTTGTAACTTGTCATCTTCAGAAAAAAAAATTGAAATCTAGAAGCTTGGAAATGTAATTTCCTGCATTCTGTTGTTTAGAAAAGTTCTTTTGATACCTCTGTCTAAAATTTGTCTGTAATTCCTAGAAACAGAATGCCTAGCTCATGGTCCAAATGTTCATTAGATTCCTATTTTTTAAATTCTTTTTGTTACTTTCAACTTACAGGCTTTAGTTGCCCAAAATGATGGTCTGATGGACGGTCCAGGTCACAACACTGCTGAGGCACAGGTGATGGCTTCATGTTATCACTTGCTTTTCAACTGTCTGCAGACTCTCTTTGCATGGTTTGTATCACAAAGAAATGAGATTGTCTTGCTCACTGTAGAAAACTTAAACATTATCATTAATGGATTATGTGTTCCGCAAATGTTAGGGAACTTCAATGTTGACATGTCTATAAAGTCTATTTATTTAATACTAATGCAATGTCTGCCTGAGAATAAACAAGTCTTAGGGCTTTAATATCATTGTGTACAGCTGTAGAACTAGAGTAACAACTAAAAAAATAATTTCAAAAGTTTTTTTTTAACATACTTCTCAGGAGTGGTTTTGTGACAAGTGAACAACAAAACCTTTTCAAAAAGGCTCTTTTTGTGCTGTCCTCAAGAACTACACTCTCCAGCAAGACACAGCCAGGATTTCATGCACTTCTTGAGTAAGCTCCTTTGTAAATACATGTTTTGGTTTTCAGTTGAAAAGTTTGTTGGTTCTTGTTTCTGTTTGCGTCATATTACTTCATTTGTGCTTGCAGACAAAGCTTCCACTATCTTGAGCAGTTCCAAAGCAGTATTCCAAACATTGCAACAGCTGTTAGCCTTACCAAGCTGTTAGTAGTTTTGTGTGAGAAGGGAAGAGATGGTGACAATGGCATGAGCATTTCTCTAGGTAATGAAACTTTTATTTTGAGACATTTGAATGGCAGAGAAGTGTACATTGTAAACAAATTCAATTTTTTGGACATTTTTAGTAAACTTATTGTCATTTGTTAAACAATCAAGTGTTTTTTAAGGTAGTGATCATTCTCTTTATTCTTATGACCATAATGTTTAATTCAGGGGTGATATTGTAAGGAGAAATTAGATGCTGGTCACTCTTAGAGGTCAAAAGGTTAACCCTCTCACTCTTAAGATCAGTAATTCTCCTAACTGTCTGTCATACAATTCTTATGATATTAGTGTGGAGAATTTGGTATTGGATCAACTGGTTATCCCCTTATTGAAACATGATTCCCACTACTTATTTGCTTGATATTGTATTGATATTGTAAGGAGAAATTCTGTTTTGGTCACTGATTGATAAAAGTTAGAGTTGAAGGGTTAAAACATAACATGTTTATTTCTTAGAGATGGATGCAATTCATTTTTCTCTTTCTTCAAAGACTTAGTACCTCTTTTTGATTGGCTACGTGATAACAATTGTCCTTTTGCATGAGTTAATACAGTTCCAACAGTATTTCCATTATATCTTGTGAACATTGAAGTACTTATTTTTCTCTTCTGTAGCTGAATTAACCGGTAATTTCCTCAAGCGTGAGTGGTTTAGACCTGATGGTGAAAGGGAGAGTGGTGCAAAATATAATGAGGCCCTGCAGTTCTTACTAAGGTAAGAGGAGGATATCCTAAGGGGGGGGAGATATCTATGAGAAAGTATATGTAAGGGTAAGTAGGTAAAGTCTGCTCTCAAGCTAAGTAGCCCATCCAGCCAGTTTCTGTAGCATGAAGAATATTATTACCCATTTAACCCTTTAACTCCCAAGATCTGATTGTTAATTCTCCCCTCTAGCTGGTACACATTTCCATGTAAATTAGTTATGAGAACTAGGTGCTAGATCAAGATATCAGCTTCTACCTGATGAGTTTGAATATTCTCATTACCTGTCTGCTGAATAATGTAAGGGTATTATAGGGAGAAGTTTCATGTTAATCACTTCTGGGAGTTAAAGGGTTAAATTCCTTGGTGAAGGGAAGCTCCTTGAAAGTACAGAGTTTTGCCCAAGAACACAACACAATGACCCAACTATTTTAAAACTGAGATCACAAATTTTTCAGTGTATAATAAAAGGCAATGTTCTACCTTATTTAAACATGACAGGTTGAAAGACAATTTCAAACCAGTAGAGCAATCCTTTTCACCTCTGTTTTTAGAATTCCATGTGAATTTAGGCAGTAATATAGGGTAGTACAGGTGGTAAATTTTACTGGTCACAGCCTGAAAAGGTGAACACTGTTAAATGCTCTTTAGGTTTCATCTATCTTGCGCCGAGGACACCCTTGCCACGTTAGAGGAAGTTGCAGGTGGAGCAGTAACGGAACTCATTGAGAGTGACGACAAAAATGCCGCCTCCACCACATATCAAACTCTTACAAGGTGATTAACCTAAACAGTGGCTTGAAGGCTTGGATCAATGTCAATGTTGTGGTTCGATTTTATCCTTGGTTCAAATTTTATTATCCTTTGTTTCAAATTCATTATCATACATTATGATAGGCAAAAACAAAAGATAATTATAAAATTTGAACTAAGGATAAAATTGAACCACAACATCAATATCTGACCAACTGCACACCTATCTCCCCCTCCCCTAACCTGACTTTAACCCTGACTTGTTTTCAGCTAAAAGTTCTTGGGTTAGGGGAGGGGTAGGTGTGCAGTTGGTCTGATATTGATATTGATCCAAAGACTTCATGATATTCAGAAGAGGTTACCAGTATGTCCAAATTGTAACTTCCTCTGCAACTTGATCTTGGTATTACTTTCTTGCCTGAAGAAGACTAGCAGTATGCAGTCGAAATGTTGCAATCTACATCACACATGACTACATCGTGAGACAAACAAAAAACTCAGCTTTTATTACTTTGAAATTCAGGAAAAACCATTAACACTTGAAGTAGGTTCAGAATATTAATGCGCTACAACCAATGCTATTTGGCAATAAGGATATGCAATCAAACTACAGAACCCCAAGCTAGTAAATGTTGATGTGTTCATTTAAGATTGTACCAGATTGGTCTGTTCTTCTTTACACAATAACATTCCAAATGTATGTTTATTACCAGTGTTCACAGTTTTTTGAACTTTGCAGTTGAAATGTGTACCTGTAAAGGACTGAGTACTCTGGATCTCACTTGCTCATACTTTTTTTCTATTCATTATACTTGGCCAGATCATCATTGCCTTGTTACTACCGTGCAATGATGGAAGAGTTAATAGGAAACCTCAAACAAACTCATTCAGTGCCACTCAAAAAAACAGACTCTCCAGAGGTATAAACTATATATAGTAACTGTAATTTCTTGTAAATTTGAAGGTTAATATGTGAGTGCTCAGCTATATTTGTTTTGTGTTGTGTTGTGTTGTGTTGTGTTGTTGTTGTTGTTGTTGTTTTTTCCTCTCATGTTTTATTCGAGTTATACACTGCTCTTTTTATCAGAATACCTCTTTAATTACCCTTTGCAGGATGTTAGGAGAACACAAAAAGCAAGTGACAAACAAACTTTTCAAAGAAGAATTAAAGAAGCATGCTTATTCCCTCTTTTTAACTTCTTAATTTTGCTTATAAGCTAGATTTTGATGTATCTAAAGAAGGCTTTTGTTTGTCCATGGATGTGGTTAGATGAAATGGGAATGTTGTTCAGTTGTGACTAAACATTTTTTGTTAAAGTCATTGGGCTAAATCTTATTGGTTGTAACATTTAAGGTACATGTTTTATTATTTTGATAATTTGTTATGCCCTGGGTCCTCTAATTGTCAATAATGAGTGGGCCTTAAAAGGAACATCTGTCTGTTTTGTTCCTGTAGTGTCACAATGAGAGGCTGGTGAAACTGAACATTTCTGTTCGACTTTTCCACATTCTTATAAATCTAGTTAAGGTGAGCTAGAGATATTGATTACAGATTATTTTGCTGCTGTAAGAAAGTTAAATAAATAGATACTGGAACATTCTTGCTACCAGATGAAAATCAAAACCAGGAGAGCTATTTAAATACTGTCTGTGGATAATTCACAGTTGTTGAAAAGCAACCAACTAACCCCAAAATGAGCCTAATGAGTTGAGTTATTGCTTCAGCAGATGACAAACAATAAGCAGTTGAAATGATGTTGTATTCATTAGATGTAAACACGCAATGAGGCAAAGAATTCTAATTTATCTTTTTAGTATCTCATGGTGGTAAACACTACAAAAAGCTACTTTGAATAACTCCTTTAACTCTTAAACTCCCAGAAGTGATAAACTTGTTATTTCTCCCTTTGATATCTATACATTATTCAGCAAATACATGTAGTGAGCTCGAAAATCATCAAACTTATCAAGTAGAAAGTAATATCGCTCCTAGTTAACAATCAGATTTTGGGAGTTAAAGGGTTAAAACACATTAGTGAAACACTTTCTGATGCCATGAATGCAATTCTGAGTAATGATGTAATTTTTTTTCCTGATGTTTGTCAGGCTTTTGATCAAAGGTCTATGATTGGAGCATCTTTGAAGGTACAATGTTTTAAAATTTTTCCTGAAGTTATTTTAATAATTTTTGTTGAACATCTCAGCTTGTTGCACTGTTTTTACATCCTCTTATTTCAAAAAGGGGTAAGTGAAGTTTAGTATTTAAGACTCATCGTTATGCACTATGAAATATATAGTTACCTGTATTGTAGAGTTCTACTTGCTGTACTTTAAAGACAGGTGCTTACTAGGTATGTGCTGTTCGAGGTAATTCCTCGTTGGCTTTTTGGCCCTCTTGTTACAGCACATACATGTACTTGTTGCATGATCATGGAACAACTACAGACTTGTATGAGTATTTCCTCTCCACTTTAACAACACAGTTGTCCATGGGGGGGGAAAGAAGCAGTCAGTGAGTCATCACATTTCCTTGAAAGGTTGCCACAGTAGGCAGGTAGGCTTTGTGTAGGTAGAGGAGATAAGTTTCTTTACAGAAAATTGGTGGTGCTGCATGAGTTGGTGAGTATAACAAGACAATTTGGTTTTTTTAAACTAGAATATTATCAACTCAGTTGTTAAAGCCAAATTACTTTGTGGGGGTAGGGTTTCGTGTTAAAAAAACATAACACAGTCACATGATCAGGGCTTGAGCCCAAACTTTTATAACTGGAGTCCAATACACAAACTACCTGAGGACTACATCATCCAAAATAACCTAAAAGTTTGATCTTCATCTCATTTCTTTTGTAGTTTGGACGTTTATTTTTGGATACATTCCTTAAGTTAGGAATGCCAGTACTGGATTTAATGTTCAGAACACACAAGGTTAGTGTGAATCAACAAATTGAACCCCCTCTCAGAACCCTGCCCTTTCATATTATGTAGTAGTGGAACGCAGTCTTGATCTGAAATCAATTTAAACATTTACTTTATTTTGTTGTGTGCCCCCAAAAGTTTGATTAAAACTGGAAAGAAAACACTAATTAAAAGCAGTGTGAATAGGTCCTAGCACAATAGGTGCTAAGAAATTTCTGGGAAATAGTGAGAAGTTACTGCTAAGTTTTTTGTGACAAAAATGACATTTCTTTTAAGTTTCTTACCTTAACTTCTTCTTCCCAAAAGGATGATATTAATGGAATGTTGAAAAACTTACAACAGAGCACAAGATCTCTTCAACACATTTGTGGACACAGCAAGGTCAGTTTATCCTAAACATATGCTTTATGGAGTGTTCTCCCATATTTTAAGCCAGACAAGTAAAATAACTTGTCAAACCTGTAATGCAATTTTTTTACCTGTTGAATTTTCAACATTTCCAAGCGAATTTAGGCAGTAATAAGAGGTACTACAGGTGATAAATTTAACTGGTGAGTACTTCAAAAGGAGAGCAAGATACAACATTGTCAAGAACAGACCAACACGTTTCCCTTGAAATCACCTTCTTAATAATCTAGAAATTCAGCATTTATGTCTACAGGTCAACTAACGAGCTGAACATGTAAGACCACTGTTTTCACTAATAAAACAAAGATCATAATCACAGGTTTCTGGTACCTTATTCATGTGTTTCCAGTCTTTTGGTATAACGCAATAACAACAAAATTATTGTATACAGTTTCTGACACCTTATCCGATGATACTGTTTCTTTTTATTTCAGGTAACAAAAGATCTCTCCCTCACTAATCATGTCCCAGCAGTCAAGAAGTGTCTGGAGACATTTGTCTTTAGAGTCAAGGTGCATATAATTAATTCTGTTAAAATTTAAAACTGCAAAGTTCTAACTCTTTAATATTAGGTGGGAACCTTCCATTTCTGGCAGTCATTTTCTGCATCCTTTTTTCAGTCAATACATTCTGCATTTGAACCCTAAGTGGATCATGTGTTCCTGTAGTAAGAAACTTATCTCTCACAGTACATCTCTCCACCCAGGAGTATAAATGGGTGCCAGCAATCTGTCAGGGAAACCCAACAAAATGCCAGGAGGTAGCCTGCATTAGGCAGCATTCTTACCAAGAGTTGTAGCATAACACTCATTGTGGCTTTTTCTGGAAGAATTAGGGTTGTAAATCTGCCTGTAATGGGGCTCTAGGTCTGAGATTTACAGAATGTTGAACATTGTGTAAAGAGGTGAATGTATAAAGTCAAATACTCACAGTTTTATGAATGACTGACTTTAGCTTCTGTATTATTTTTCTTGGATTGCAGGCAATGCTTACACTAAACAAATGCCATGAGGCTTTCTGGGTCGGGACGCTCAAGAACAGAGACCTACATGGGCAAGAGATCATGTCGCAGCAGTCTGTGGGAGAAGAACCCACAGAAGAGGAGGAGGAGGAGGAGGAGGAGGAGGAAGGTGAAGAAATGGAAGAGGATGATGATGACGATGATGATGCTGACAAAGACAATGTAAGTTCACTTTCATGATTCAATAACTGTCACACTCAGGAAACCAAAAACACCAGAAATATTTATGGAATTTTGTGGAGTTCTGATTAGAGATGACATGGTGGCCTGGTACTCAGTGTGCTGGACTGGAATGGACTGGACTCCAGGTCAAGGATTTCCAGATTGGAGACTTAGACAAGTTATTGTGTTTTGTTCTTTACTCTCACAGTGCCTTGTCTTTGTTTTTAGGGAGATGAAGGTGCAAGTAACAATGGAGAATCAAGACATGATGGTGCAGAGTCATACAGTGAAAGTTTCTAACCATGATCAGCATTATAATGAGAAATATTACAAACACTTATTCACTTATTTCAGAGTTCTGTCATAATTTGGAAAAATTTTTTTGCAGTTGGCTCAAGTGTGTGTGTCTCTTATCAATCCCAGATAGATATCCTAGATTTCCTAGGGAACTACATAGGTCCAGTCTGAAACTCTTCAATTAAAACACCTTGTACAGTTAGGAAGCGCAACTTGCAAAGAATAAAAAATGGCCTGGCTTCTTTATCTTTTAAATTCAAATTCAAATTGGTTGAAGACACTGAATTTTGAAACAAAATATTGCATGAGGCCTGAAGTAACATAATTTGATGAAGAGATAAGAAGACAGAGTTGAGATAAATTATAATGCACAGACTTTAACACACATTACTTCTCTTCCTTTATAGTTGCAAATGATTTTTAAACAAGTACAGGTGTGTTATCTGGCTTACAACTTTGAGGAAGAAAGCCACAGTTGGATTCGGTTTTGAGATGGTTGATAACACAGTCAACTGCCATCATCAATGTGTTTATTGAATTGTACATTCATGTCTAAGTTACTAATGACAATTTGAACTGGCACAATCAAAAACTGAAAATCAGTTCAAATTTTATTTCTCATTTTAGAATTCAAGGCAAGTATTGGTGTTGCTTTTATGATTGCCAAACACCATAAATAAATAATTTTGCTCTGATGAAGGGCTAACATGGTGGCCAGTTTACATTATCAACTCAGTTGATAAAACCTAATTAGTTTGAAATACCCACAGCTTCTTTAGAAACTCACCCTCTTTATTCAAACTCTAAATAGATAACTTATTTTGGGGCAATATGTATTTGGTTGTTGCTGCAATGACTGCCATCAAGGCATAACACTTGTTCATCATCTTAATGGTAAACCCTGATAATCGGTTAATCACTTGTTATGAAATAGGTGGAACCCTTATTACAGAGATCACACTTGCCCATCTTTCTACAGCCACTGACTGATCAAACCACAATGGCTGATATCTCTTGGTGCTATTGAAAAGCTAACAGTACAGCAGAAAACGTTATTTATGAGCCTTTTCTTCATGTGACTGTGTATATTACTAATATCTGCATATTATCTTGAATACATCCTATTCCACTCCACACAGTCTGCATATCTGACTCCATTTCCACCAAACAAATCCAGAGCACTGTTAAGAAAAAATTCAGTGTGATTTAACATCAAGAAGTTATGTACTTTGAAAAAGGAATCCATTGAATAATCATTTCACCCTCTTTATACTGAGAAGAGCTTCAGTTGGCGGTATTTTCAATTAATTCCCTTATTCCATTAAGGGTTAAAGGGCTAAAGCCCAATGAAAACATGAATCTTGCTCTGAATGTTAAAATCCTATCTTCTCTTTCAAAGAAAGTATTTTCCATGCAGTGAATGAACATTTTCTCCTCTCGATATCAGACAAGCCAACTTTCAATTCAATCTCATAGGGAAAACTGAATTGCAGATTATTTCCCTAATCTGGGCATATGGTGACACTACTGGGTCTCATTAAGAGGAGAAAATAAATGACTCATTTACCTTCCAAAAGTTAAGTCCACCTTTCCACCTGATAGCCTGTTCACCAATTCCAAATCACTGATGTCTATAGACGGGTAAAATCAATTAAAGAGGTTTTAAGGTGGACAATACAGAATAATCATACTTGAATTTTTGTTGCAAGTGTACAAATTCTGATGCAAATGATCTTCAATATCTGTAGACAAATAGCAAAACTTTCTCTTTGTTTCAATAAATTTTACTATAAAAATTTAAGACTACCAATCATGGGAGTCATAGGAAGAAGGTGTTCCCTCTCCTTTTTCCATATATCTTTATATCTTTCAGGGATCAATATCAGTATCTGGGCGACGACCCACCCACCCCTCCCCTAACCCAACAAGTTAAGGTGAATGTTGAGTTAGGGGAGGGGTAGGTGGGCTGTTGCCCAGATACTGATATTGATCTCCTTTCAGGATAATGCATTTTTTTGGGTGGCTGAGGATCAAGGCTTGCTGCAAACTTTCAGCCTGGTCTCTTAAGCATCTACCCTGCCAGTAAGAATCCCATCAAAAAGGTTTAAATTTTCTAACCTTTCCCACCTCCAGCATAAGTGCAAGGTATTGGAGACCACTGACCAAGAGCTGTAAGAAAAAAAAGTAAAGGAAATGAGCAAGAATGACAGACTGCACAAAAGGGAACGGTTTTTAAGCAATTCATTCACTTTGAATTCCCCATTTTTTACACCAAAAAAAATTTGTACCTTTTACAAGCTCTTCATCAATTCCTTTACAAAGGCCCTTCAAGAGAGATAAGGAATTAAATTGTAAAAATTCCACTTTTAAGTAAAATTATGCTTCTTGTGTCATTGCTAATGATGGCTGATTTTTAATATTTATTTATCAACCCTCTACACCCTAAAATTAAAATTTAAGTTCTCCATTCTGTTCTCTTTACATTTCCTGAGGTGCTGACAAGGGGGATTTGTTTAAGAATCAAGAGCTTCTTAAGTTGGTGATCAGCTCCTCAATTCTCATGACTTTAAAATTTGATTCAGGGATGAGATCATAAGGAGAAATAAGATACTAATCACTCATAGGGGTCAACAGGGGCAGTTTTTTGTTAACTTTTCCTTTTTTCTTTATGTAAATCACTGATAGCAAAAATTGTCAAACACAACTCTTACCTCAACATCAGCAGCATGTACAAGAAACTCTGATGCAAATTGAGACATCTGGTGTAATATTTCTGAAAATGAGAGTCAATTTGAAACCAAGAGGATCTTAGAATGGATGAGCAGTACATATCAGGTTACGGACATATCAGAAATGGCATCTTTTGATCCAATATTGGAAAGTCTATTTATTAACTTTGACCCTTTGGGAAACAAGGGTGCAGACAAGTTATGAACTTGATCTCACTGTACACTGAGAATACCCAGCTCACCTTTGGATATTTCTAAACTGGTAACTGTTTGCCACTTGTTCATGGCAACAAACCAAGAATTCTTTTGACGACGACAACTTAGATCAATGACCAGTTGTTCTTTGCCAATTAAACTGCTTAACTGATGGAGTCTTTCCATAGAAAATTCACCAGAAGGAAACAGCCATGATGTGACAATGACCTGGAATTATAACATAAAAGTCATTTAGTAATTATTTACTGATATGACTAACAGTTTACTGTGGTAGCAGGGATAACAGTAGCTTGCCTTACACACCGTGATATTAGTAGTACTGTTCCACCACTGAGCTGGTTTTGGTGGCAGATCCAGACCTAGAGCTAAGGGGGGGGACCCTGTTTTTTGTCGCTTGCCCTGCTAGCTTTTCTTCCTTCTGCGATTCTTTTTTTTTTATTTACCCAAAATAAGGGGGAGCCCAGGCCCCTCCCCTAGATCTACCACTGGGTTTCATGTGAGTCTTCTCACCACAAGGAATAGCTGTCTATTTCACGATAATCTTCCATTACCTTGGAAGCTCCTTTATCAAGCCATGATATTGCATTATCAATGGTTATTCCCCCTCCAATCTGAAGACCATCAGGCCAGGCTGCCAAGGCTTCCTCTGCAGCAGCATCATTACCAGGACCCAGTTTGATCACATGACCTCCAGTAAGGTTGTCTTTTCGGTACAGTGAGGCAAAGTAACCTGGCCTATGACTGTAAAATATCAGATGCAAATGTCTAAGCTAAAAAAATCTACTGTCAAACTGTGTCTCTTATGAAAATCTTATGTCAAGGGTTTTTCAGCCACATCAGAACAGTCTGCCTTTCCACACATTGAAGGCAATATACCTACATCTAAACTCTCCTTAATGCCCTACATAACAGTTGGGCTAGTTCTGGGCAGGAGATTCTAGATTTTAGTCAAACGATTTCATCCTTGCTGAGATTTTATCCAAATCTTGATTGTAATTTACTTTAAGTAACAGGAGACTGGCATTGGGAAGTATATAAAATTACAAGATCTGACTGTTAAACCTCCCCTCTGGCCACTACACATTTCCTTGTAAATAAATTATGAGAATTTGGTGTTAGATCAAGGTAACAACTTCTACCAGATAAGTTTGTACATTCTCATCACCTGTTTGCTGAGTAATGTATGGATCTAATAAGGAGATGTAACATGTTAATCACTTCTGGAAGTGAAAGGTCAATGTATTCATGTTTGAACTGGTTGGGAGATACTGGATCTTGGTCACCAGATCTCATTCTCACCAAGATATGATCCCGATCTTGATTTTAATAGATTTCAGGTGACAGAAGACGTAAATTGGATTGAAAACAACATTTTATCTATCTCAGATTTCTTCAACATTTACCTGGCAATAAAATTCGTTTGGAGATGCCCCTCGTTGTCTGTCAAAGTGCCACCGACAATCTGACTAGAACCCAAGAATGGTGAGAAATTTACCTTTAGTTAAATCAAAATGCACTGTTCCTGGAAACAAACCTGTTTAACTTTTCCATCGTGTAGATCGATACACGGTCTAAATTGGGTTACTTTTTGATGATCGTCGGCCATTTTACGTTTTGAACCAACTGGACATTTCATGTATTTTTCATATAATATCAATAAGAACCAATTTTGCAGCTGGCTCTAAGAGGTGCGGGCTTAACTTTAGAGCAGAATGGAACATCAAGATGGCGGCCGACACGAGTGAAAGTACTGCTGAAAAACTAACGTTTACGTGCGCATCATGTGGTTTTGAATGTAATTATGAATATTTTGGGAAAAAGCCGCCTTTCTCAAAATCAGTGGTGTACGTATATTATTTTTTTGTCCGTGGTTTTTTATTTTTTTGTTGCCGAACGTTATTTCCGCGTGTCACGACGCAATTTGCGCGCTCCCTTACGCGCCAATCAATTCGAACCTTCAAAAGCCCCTCAGGGAAACCCCAAGAGCTTTCAAGCTGATTTTCCTGACTATCAGCATGTTGAATGACTATCAGCCGACATAGTGATTTAGGCTACAGATAGAAAGTGGCATTCTTTTCCTTTGATAACAATAACTTTCTTCACCTCTGTTTTATGACAGACTTCTGGAAGATGCATTTGTTATTCGAGATCCTTTCTCACCAAATGCTGGGCACTTAACATTAGGTGGACGGTGCTGCTTGTGTACAAGACACATTTGCATTTCACAGGTATATGCGCATATTTCAATGATATTGTTTGACTCTACATAATTTCAACTTTTTTTCCTTCCCATCTTTTCTCTATGCAGGCTTTCCTGTTCCAAGTCCCTGTTTCCCTATCCCCTCAGACGTGGAGGGAAGGGGGGAGGGCTTCATCCTCTTTCACTCCCATGAGTGACCAGGACAGAATTTCTCCTAACAACATCTGTACAAAATCAAGCACAGTAGTGATAAGAAGAAAGTTTAATATCAATTAGGGGATTATTAGTTGATCCAGGACCAAATTCTCCAAACTAACGTTATAAGAATTGTATTGCAAACAGTAATGGGAATTACTATTGAGATCATGGGGTGAAAGGGTTTAGTGTTAATAGAAGAAAGCTTTGTAGGGTAGAGAGCTTCAGAAGGGCATAATTTATAGAGCTATGTTCAGGCCCCTGCATTGTCATCCCCGATCACAGTTGAACCTCAATTAAATGGAACTGTGGGGACTGGGCTGATAAAAAAAATATGATTATTAATGAGCCAAAATAAAACTGAATATGTATAATTCGATGAATTTTGTGTGAATATTAGAGGACAGTCTCAAATAACTGTGCATCACTTTTAACAATTTGCCAAAGTATTTACAAATGCAGTTTGCTTCAAGCTACTCCACATGTGCAATTCTACCATTCTTTGAGCTTGCATTAATGCTATTGCATCAACATTGTTTTAGTTCAGCCTTCTCTAATCAGAAAAAGTTGATTGAAGGTCAACTGTAGAAGGTTGTGGAGTCATGGTAAGTGGGAGATTTAGCCATAACACACACCCCCCCCTCCCCAACTGGTAAGCTGGACATTATATTGGCCTCTTACTTGGGAGGTTTAAGCTCAAGCCCTGTATCCCTGTTCCCCAGTCGAGAGGGAGTATAAGGGGGGGGGGGAAATACAGGGGAAAAGATTCAGTCCTAGGTGCTAATGCCTAAGGGTAGATTAGAAATTTTTGTTAATTCTTATCTGCTGGGTTATATTATTATTATTATTATTATTATTATATTATTTATTAGTAGAATGAGCATGCTAAGCAGCATCTGCCACTTTGTTTATAAGCTTATTCTGCACTCTCTTTTGTCCTGCAGGGAATTTCAATCCCTTTGAAGGGAATGCATTTTTTTACTTAGCTAACTAACTGTTCTTTTTACTTATTGATGGAGTGAAGCAATATAAGCATGCTGTTAAGAGCAATGCACATTGGTGCATTGCTGTAGAAGGTGGACTTTGAACTCTGATGATTCACAGTTCAGTGAATGTTTCATGTAGTTAGGAGATGGACTCTATATTTATTTGCAGTCTTCATGTTTTAGCGCTCTTGGCTTGTTGTGCTCTGCTTAAAGAGACGCTGGGAATTTATACTCAAGTTTGGTTCCTTCAGAGTTTATGTAACCAAATACTGTTTAGGAGTATCTTGTAATTGCTTGCAAGCTGACAATTTTTAAAAACTGAAAACTGTTTCTATTTCTTATCAGACATGCAGTATTTTCTACACTGAGCGGTTCTGTATTTCGTGTGTTCAGAAGAACAAGGAAGAATTTCCAGATGAAATACTCAAGGTAAGTTGTGATGTTTACAGGCTAATATCCATTCCCTACTTAGTTAAGAGAATTGGATTTCAGTGCCAAAGTAACGCCCCCTGCTGATAAACTACGACTCTAGCGTTTTTAGCAATGAATCGATGTTTAGGAGAACTTTTTGGTAAATTACTTTGTTTGTTAAAAAGCTTAAACTTTGCCTTTACTGAATAGTCTGAAAATTTCCGGAAGAGTGCATATTTGCAAGTATCGTCGTTACATGAGAGGTTTCCTTTACACATTTGGATCAACTGTCTTAAAATGTTATCCATTTTGATTGCTGGTCAGTTGTTTGAATTTGGACTGAATTGGAAATTTTCTTGGTCACTTAAAGTTTAAGTTGAACTTGTGCACGATCTCCCTAAATGGAAAGTAGATAGCAGAAAGTTTTGAAAGTTCCAAACTCATTTAAGAGCGCCTACGGGCAAGTGGTTAATGCCAAGGTTAAAAGTTTAACAAGCTACGTTATTGGCCCTCAAGAAACTGAAATGCAAAAACATACGAGTGACGTCTTCAAGATACAGAAAAAGTAGCATTACCCTATGGGACGAGGAACATAAACAGAAATAATTTAACTGAAGCGATAGAATTTTCAAAGAATCGTGTGGCTTGGTAAATACTTTGAATTATTTATTATTGATACGCTCAATAACAATCTCTGACTTTCTTAACCTCGACTTGGCGTTACAAGAATTAAAAATTAAATTTTTAATAAATAATGGTTCCTCGGCAATTTGACCATTTTTCAGTACGATGAGCATTGAGCAGGCTCTCTTCCCCCATCTTTCCCTTCTCTGATGGAGGGCATATTAAAGGTCTTACTAAGGAAAACCATAGTCGTAATTGAAACGATGAAACCTAATTTCAATCTAAAAAATCCAAATGCAAACATTTTTAAGGGCACAGGTTTTAACTTAGTTCGTAGGGGTTGCCAGGACGAAGATATCATAGGCAGTCTAAAGTACGTTTTCAACGTTGTAGACTCCGTGGGTTAAATCCCCATGTTTTGAAGATCGCCAAAAATGAGGCGTAAGTGAAGCTAAGACGTGTCTCGTGATTTGCGTGTGCTCCCCAGAATAGTAATGCCGGTACATATTTCACATGTGCGTGACGTAGGGATCACCTCTCGCGCTGTGATTGTCTGGCCGTGAGGTGAATTTATCCATCGCACGTTTCAAGTCACGCTCCTTACTTAGCTATGCTCACGGCTTACGTCACTATTATCAGCGCGCGAAAATCATGGGTTAATAGGCCTGTCTCTCGTGCATTCTGAGTTATATAATAAATTGGGAATTTTAAACATATCCGAGGCTTGACACGTGTTGGAGAACGATAAACTTCTTTATAATTCTGCGTGTTTACATCTCAAGCAGCACTGACTGATGGACTAGTATTCGTCAAAACATTGCATCAGATTTTTTTATTTTTGGCGGGAAAGATGGGGACCCTCTGGAGAGGGGCATAGTACACTTATCTTGTTCGCACGCGCAGCCAGAGGATTCGCTGCTGGAGTCACACGTGTTTCGTGACGCAGTAGTTGACAGGGTCAAGGTTGTTCATTGTTACACGTGGACTTGTGAAATGTGGTTCAATGCTAGGAAGTTGAAGTTCACACGGCCAAAATAAACGCGCGCAGATCATGAGGGTGTGATATAACGGACCTGAATAAGGCAAAATTGCCTCGTGAGCATTTTGTTACATAAGTTATTGGAAAAATCAATATATTTATAATTAGAAGAGAACACCAGAAATTTTAAAAACCCGTCGTAGAAGTTCTCTGATCTCCAAGTGTGTAACACTTGTGTAATTCAATCCTTTCCTAGGGATGGTTTACTGCGTATCCAACTTGAAAGAAATGTCGCTAAGTTTTTTACTTTCGTTCTTCGCGATCCATACTACGCTTATGTCACCGTTACTTTTTCTCGATCCTTTAAATTTGTTTTTACGGGTTTGATTTTTGGGTTATCGGCCTGAAAAACAACCATTTCTAGGGTTTTCTCGTTTTAATGTAGAGGCAATGCTGAATGCGAACATGGCTTAAGTCTTGGACACGACGAAATTAAATCAAATTTACCCAATTTTTCTCCTTTTTTTTTCTGCAATTTTCTCCTTAAAACCACCATCAAACAACCAAATTTGAGAGACGGTGCGCGGACAAGTTTTCTTTTTCGACGTTACCAGAACGTTAAAATACCGTGTAGAGATTGAAAAAAAATACGGAAAGGAAGTTTTGAAAGTTGATTCGAATTTCAGAAGGAAATTTAAATAGGAAAACCTCAGCTGGTGTAAGGACTTGACAAGATGCAAGGATATAATAAATTCACTTGTAACGTCACGTGTCACTATTGACGTGACACGATAACTGTATTGTTGACTGCACATTTTTTACCGGAGAAAGTTTATTAAGCTCATGCTTTATTTTAAATGTCTTGCAATTAAGTATCCAGCGAAAGCAGGGTCCTTCACTGGATTCTTTTCTTAGCTTGTAGGCTTAAAAATTCCGCCGTAACGAGGTGACTTTTCTTCAGCATACTATCGCTGTTCTCATTATGTCTTGTGGTACTGACTTGGAGAAATTGCTAAGCAAACCAGAGCTTCCTTAGTGGGTAATCATCTCTTTTATTTTCATACTATCATGACTGATTTAGCAATGATACTGTAAGGGGAGATTAGATGCCAGTCACTTCGGGATTAAAGAGTCGATATAAGATGGCGTAGTCTGATTCAGATAAGATAACGCAAGGCTTTGGAGAGCTGTGTAAATTCCGGGCGGTAAGAGAATTGCGTTGACGCGTTATTTGATTTCTTCTTGTACCTGTAGGATCTGCAAAAGAAAGATTCCTCTTGTAGCTAGAGAACATTCAATGGAAAGCAATGGGAGGAGAGACTGGTTGTCAAACACAGAGCGCAAACCCGATGGAAGGGAAAGAAAAACGAAATGCCTGAGAAATTAGGGAGAAGGTGGAATAAAAGGCAGCTTCTAAGAGGAAAAAAAACTTGTACTTAACCCCTAACATACTAACATCAGTATGCATATTCTCCATACTGTTCTCTAAACATTTCCTTAGGTGCTGTCCTGGAGAATTTGTTTAGTAACCATGTGCTTCTTTTGTTGGTGATCATTTCCTTTATTCTCGCGACCTTAATGTTTGACTCAGGGGTGATATTGTCGGGAGAAAATAGATGTTAGTCACTCTTAGGGGTCAAAGGTTAAAGGGAAGAGGTAGTGGTAGTAGTAAGTGATTCCCTTACAGATCTTTGCGGATCACAAGCTACAGTGTAATCTGTGTGATTATGTCGCACGTCTTAGGTAAATCTGAAGTATTGCACGATTTAGTTCAATGCCGGCCATAAATTTGCGTGGACTTTTACTTATCTGTTCCCTTGATTCTGAGGGATTGGAAAGTCATGAGGTGGTTTTTAAAAGACAGAGTTGAACTTTGTCACCGGTCGTGCAAAAATAATATTTTAGCTACCTGCATTTTTAGTGAGTCTTGAGTACACGACCAAGGATTGAAAGTAATGTTCTTCTCCCCAGTTTGTCATACACTGACAAAATATTCTTTCTAACAAGTTCACTGAATTACATGAACTAATTTTTACAGCCATCAGGGTAGGAAACTGCCTTTAGAGATTATTCTACCTTATTAAAACACAACATTACCCCAAGGTGGGACCGTTGGTGTCAGGGACCGACACCAAGACTTGTGTACAGCGGTCACATGGCAAATTGTAACTTTTACATTGCCGTGTTGTCGCATCAGTCAGTTTAGCCAACTTTTTTGGGCTAAAGAGCTTTTGTTTTTTAAAGGGAGTGTGAAGCATGTAACATTGTTGTGTTTGTTTGATGATAGAGAATATGGCGTGCTGTATGTAAGAAGTAATTGCTTAAATAAACCAGCCCTGCTCTAAGTGTATTGGTCTTTAATCAACACAATATAACCGAAGGAGCGGAAAGAAATTTATGACATTAACTAAATAAATAAAGGTCTCCAGCGAGCAAAAGCCTCTTTTTGCATTTAGAACCTTTTCCCCCATTAAGCCTTTATACGGGCCCAAGTGGCCCATAGGGCCGGTGCTTAACTCCGGTTTTCTTAGCATGAAGCAGCTAGGAGTATTGCTACTCCCCCTTGGATGGGATACTAATCCATCGCAGGGTTACCCCCAGCATATTTGCTGGTACTCATTTGTACACCTGGGTGAAGAGAAGCATTGTGAGAGTAAAGTGTCTTGCCTAAGACATTGGTCATGATTTTTGCTAAGAAAAAAATACCATTTTAAATGTATCAAATTTTGCCCAAGGCAAGATTAATTTGATGCAGAGAATATATATTCATGGCGTATACTAGACTGAAATGACATTCATCAGCCTTCCGAAAATCCCTAGAACCTTTTTCCTGTCGAATAACTTCAAAGTCAGGTGTTATGTTTGAAGCTAAATGCGTTATGCTTCCCATTTCCCTGAAACAACCAGAAAATAGAATTAAATCATTCTTGCGACCAGCGTATGAAAGGTGAAACTTAAGCGACTGCTTTCGGTGCTATCCAAGAACTTCTCGTCACTCTTGCGAATGGACTCAAGTCACGACGCGTGAAGTTTAAATTTTTTAGCCATTTCTTGGTGGCGCGAAGAGGCAAAGTCAGAAGGCATGATACTAGTATGAGGGCCTGGACACCAGCGGAAGTCACAAATCGAAACCGGAACTTGGCCTTCGATTTCCTCGAAAAAGTTCCAAAGTCAGCTACAGTGCTTTACTTTCGATATACTAATATTAAGTAGGTACCTGTTGCGTAGAAGAAAAAAGTTTCTTCTTTTCTTCCATGTTATTTGAATTAAGCAACATTTTGCACATCTGTGGATATGAAAAGCAATCTGCCACAACTTTTCAGTTTTCAATTCGAAGTCATCGCGTGTCATCAATTTTTGTAAACACCACAGCCGACTAAAAATAAAATATCATGTGTTTTTGCGACAAAAATAAAGAAGATTCTCCTGTTAACCTTAACCGAGAAAGAGTTAAATTCTTTCAGTCATCAATTGTTTTCATTTAAGTTGTGAAGATCTTTTTTTGCTCTCCCTCAAAAATCAAGAATAGAGAGAGGGGCTTTTCATACGTGAGCCACAATTCACACCCCATGTTGGGTACATAAGTTCAAACTGAACAGCTCTGTCTGATCTTTCCCAATCATCTGGGATATTTACGACTGTCTGCACGAAAGCTATCTTTTCAGAATCTTTGTTCATAGCTAGGCGCTGTTTTTCTACGAAGGATACTTATATGTGAGTTCGTAATACAAGGTGTAATCTAGCTCCTCAGTGTTGGTGTATACATATATATATATATATATTCCGCTGAAAATAGCTGAGATAAATTTTTCAGTGCCACACTCTGATTGAAGACGAAAAATCCTCCCCAGAGACATAGAGATAATTAGCTAGGGCGTGAGGAAAAACCCAAACTGGGCACAACAAAATCTTACGCAGAGTCACGGAAATTAAAAATATGAAAACAAGTTATTTTCGTCCGTTAGAGGTGGCAAGACAAAAGTATACTTATGGTTGCATTTGTACAAATTCTTATAAAAACTTACTTGAAACTCCGATAAATCGAAACAAAATTTCCAACGAATCTTTTGGTTAATAGCACTATTTTTAATGTTTTACAAACCCTCGTTCCCCTATTCCGACTGTTGAACGATTATAAAGCCAGGTCTAGTGTCTTTATATGAAAAATCTTTCCTAAAGTTTTTGAAGTTCAACTCTTTTTACTTCTATCCTGGTTAAATGTGACATCAAGTGGACATTAAATTTCCAACGCTTAGTTTGTTTTCATATTATTTCCATTTGAGCAAAGTTATGGTTAGGGGGGGATCTCCCTGGTTACCGAACATAACTTTATTGACGTAATGAGACAGTTTGGCTTTTCTGAGAAAAATCGGGCATGATGCTTTCATGCGATCGTGCTCAAATTTTTTTAATCTTCAAAAGTAAATTGAAGTCTACGCAAGCACGTGTGAAATCTACTAATCACATGCACTCGTGCTCTTCATAATATTTGTCACGCCTTACTTTGACATCTGGGTGAAATGCCCAGAGTAACGCAACAGAAGTGAAAGTGAAACCAGAGGAGCTGATATAAACAATGTTGACATGGGAGATTCGCAAAACCAGAGGAGAGCGCAACGCTCGGTAAAGGTTAGAACGTTTTTTTCACTGCTTTAAGGCTACAAAATGGCAAATTTCTAGCCTCGCAAAATTTCAGTTAAGAGTCGTGTGACTTTCGATTTCACTCTCGTGATTCGAATATGACTGCTACTGAAAGAGCGGCAAGATTCTGAGAAATGAAAATGAATTGCGTCACTTTAGCGTACCCTTGAAAGCCACCCTTCGAGCAAAACGCTACTTTTGTAAAATTTACCGATAAAAAAACGAATTTCCAGTCACGTATTTAGACATCCTGTCTTTCTGAAGGTTTTGTTTTGTACTCGACAACCTGATATTGTTTTGTGTGAAATAGGTATAATTCATTACGCGTGGCTTGCTTCATCCAAATTCTGAGAAAAACGGAAGTTGAGTTCGATTCTTGGAAAGCGTAACGCTAGTAAGTGACGATCTCTGTTGCCCTTCGACTGTCTATAAATGCTACGCGTACTTCATGTGATGTACCTTTCTCTTAAAGAACGAAACCAACGCACAACAACTTGATCGAGGAGATTTTCACGTTGGTTTAAGGTCTGCCATTTTGTGTGAGTAATTTCAAAGATCGCTGAATTATTGCCATGGTTTTAAATAATATTTTGCCGACTATTCGTGACAACCGCGTCGCAGAATTCACAGTCAATGTTTATAATTACACTAGAAGGCAAAATTGACCTGGCATATGTTTAGGAACACAGCTTTTTGGCACAAAATTTCGCATTTAAATTAGTGCGGTTCTATTAGTTAAAGGATCGTACAACGAACTAGAATTTACTTTAGAATCACAGAACCGCTAGTCCAAAATGCTGCTACAATGATTACACGACTAATTTCAAGTCGCAGACATGTTTTGCAATTTAAAATTGATCGATATAAATAATTTGAGCATTAATGCGGAAAATCTGTCTCGTGTAGGAAGGTTTTGTTAATCGGCGCAATCGATAAGCAGCTTTGTAACGGTTCTCAGCGCGGACGGGAAACTGTTTTCACACTTTTATTTTCTCAATACAGAGTCATGGCGCTGCATTACTCTCCTCAACTGTTTGATGTAAACACGAATTCTCAGTTGAAGATGTTGAATTTTATGGAGAGTACATCGTTCTTTGACAAGAGCTGTGGTCAGCAAACGGCGAAGTTTTTCAATGGCTTTCCTCAACCGTTTGGATTTGACGATAGAGCGAACATTTTAGAAGGTGAGCTGCTCCGGTTGATGTTACGAAGAGCGTAAGTTAAACCCCTTGCGTGCCGTATCGTCCTAAGATTAATTTGCGAGGTAAATTAGTTCTACTTCCGTGTTCTCGCAGAGTTGACGCGCGGTATTCGTTCGCCGCTTTAAGTTGCAAACTTTCCTTGACGGACTAGGATTTCAAAGAGCTCTAAATCGAATCAACATTTGTGAAAGCTTTAAAAATTCAGCGCAGAAGTGTCTGTGCTATTTAGTGGCTGCGAGAACGCCATATCTCTCTGTCGATCGCGGTCCTTTCAATTAATTTGGAACTGGTTTGATTTTGAACCGCAATTTATCTTGTTTCGAAGCCGGTTTCATTTAGTTTGAGCAGTCTGTGACGTCGTTTTCGTTTGACTTCAATTGGCTACGGCAGAACCTCTGAAGAAACTTTGTATTAAGTACAGAGGCACTGCGACTGTTTGGTTAAAAAAAAAAACCAACAACAATCATATGCAAACATTCCTTCCCAACATCGGCTTCGATTATTCAATAACCCGTTGACAACATCGGTTTTCATTCTAAAGCTACTAGCTTTAGTTGAAAATAGCTTCAATGTTTGACTTCTGACTTGTAGAGGCGTAGAACAGACGCAAAGCTGTAGGAGTTCTCAAAAAAATCTAATGAAGATCGATTTTTGAAATAACTATTAGAATTGTGAGGTCTTTCGAAACGGAAATGTTAATGCTCGATTTTCTTTTTTTATATATTCCGCCTGGAGTGAATTCGGAGCGTTTTCATTCAGCAAGTGTTAAGGGTATAGAAACTATTTGAAACACCGAATACGCTTCAAAACATTCGATTTCGGTCATGTGGCCTGCAGTTGTTTGTTTTCAAGAATCGCCCCACGCAAGCGGGTTACGTTGGTTTTCGAGAAACTTTGAATATCAAACGAATAATCAAACACTGAGAACAGGAAAAACTCAACAATAGTTTAAACGCGACTCGAGTTCTTCTCGTGATTAGGACTTAACTGGCAATAATTTCCTCGAGAATTACGCGTGCAATACTTTCAAGTTGCTCTTGTAAATGCCAGGATATTGCATGCAAGCAACCTCTCCCTAGTCCATAAAGACAGATCTCATGGTTTCAATGTCCATGTTATTGTTAGAGAGTCAATTTTATACTCTTATATGTCATTCTAACGATAAAACGTATTTGTATTTACTTGGAGCGCTTATTCAAGTTATCCCCTCGACAGACTGATCTCCACTTCCTTTACAAATATTGCCGTTCTGTCAAAGTGAACGATGTAGCATTTGGTTCGAAACAAGAACAAATTTCGATTCTCTAGGTGCAATTGCAAATTCATTCTGATATTAAGACTTTTTTTCCTCTTTTTTTCCGTAAAAATTGATGTTAAAAATGATGACCTTTAATGACTCAGTCCCGTGGTTGGGCACGTGACCTCTTGGCGAAACAAACCCAGCTAAACCAAAACAAGCTTTTTTTTTTCCCGCCAAAATAGCACAGCCATCACGACATCACGTACAACTTGGGACGCATCAGCAATATTACCAGCTACTTGTCATCACTGTTTCACGTGAAAATACCAAAGTTCTTTGTTGGTTGCCCTCTGAGCTTGTCACGGGGTTGTCACGAACCGAGGAATCCCGTATGCAACCATCAGAATTTTGTCTTTGACCTTCAAGTTTACATATCTTGTTTTTAGTTTCAATTTCAATTTCTTCAGTATATATTTTTCTAAACCTGTATCTCTTCGTTATGAAAAGTCTGCTTAATAATCAAGAAGAAGAAGAATAAGAATCAAAGTTCCTGGATTTTTTTTCCTAAGCGTACAAAACGTTTCTGGTCTCAAAACTTCGTATCGAAAATTCAAATTTGCTCTGAACTCTAGAAGTTCATGCTAAGACTTTTTGTACCTCGACTTCTTCAGTTCAGAGGGAGGTGAAGCCGTACTGAAACAAAAGTAATGGGGATACATCATCATATTGAAAATGATTTTAATAATAATGGAAATTTGTGAAAGTACTACCGAAAAAAATTATAATTATAATGATAATCTCAATCTCAGAGCTCTCCCTCCTTTCCTTGAAATCAACTCACAGTCCCTGGGTCTCCTTATATGCAGCATAATAAGCTCATAAACTAGGTTTAGTAACCTTTCGACCAATAATTTTGAGGAACGAACCTGGCAGCTTGTAATTTTTCCTTTCTCTGAATTATGACAAGGAATTTAAGGACTTCAGCTCACTCATGAAGTTTTTATCTCGAAAAATCCCGTGTTGTTTACGTTGTGGATATTTTAGGTGTTACCTCCACTGCAGAAGATGCGTTCGCTACGTAACAATTATTTAAAACATTCTTTGACTGGAATTGGTGTCAAGATTTCTATTGTCTTACATAATAAGATCGCTGCGCACGAACAGAAAAGTTCCTTGCATATTACTTCAAACCCCTCATGTTTGTTATGACGTTAACGTAATTATTCTATCGGTTACAGAGTAACATTATCGAAAACCGTCTGTCGCGTCTTAAAATCTCATTTAAGCTCTGATTTATCATTTGAAGTTGTAGAATAAGGCCATAGATAATTTGTGCTCTATAAAATGATCAGAGATTGGGAAACAACACTTTTTGTACGAATATGAATTAAGACGGCGATAACAATACCGTAATCAGCTTGTTATTTGTGATATTTGCTCGGATTGAAAGAGAATATTGCACAAAATGACAGTGCAGAAGTTTATTGTTTATCGTCCGGTATAATTTCCTTGGAAAAAAACGTTGCAAAGGTGATCAAAGATTTGGGAGAAATGTTGGAGAAAAGATTTGAAGGTGTTACGGGTAGCACCGATGGAAGTTTCATGATTATTGCGATTGGAGACTAAAGGTGCGTCATGCACGATAAGTAAAGCAGATTGCTTTCGTAAATATTCGTGTAGTTATTCCGGTTTTGAGCCTATACGAAAATTTCTCTCATGCAAAATTAAATCAGCATTAATTATCCTTCTTGCCAGGTGAAATGAAATGTTTCAGTTTATTTCGCGTCAAGTAGACTCTGTAGAAGGATCTAGGATAGTTTTAATTTTTGCCTTGTTTGTTAACTGAATTCTCGGAGCAAACGCCATCTTTAATCCTTCCCAAAATGCATCGCCTTCGGCAATTCTCAGCATGCACTTCATTAAAGTTAACACGAAAATGCTAATTATGAGTTTCAGCTGTGAAACATGTCTAATAGTTTCTCTGTGACTCCCTGCAAATTTGCGTCACTTTTCTTTTCTTTGAATTGTCAACGTTTGTTCGGTCTGCAAAACTTTTACATGTTTACCAAGAGCCAAAGTATGCTATCATTAAACCAAATGCGGATCAGTCCAGGTATTCACTAGGCAGAAATTTAGCATGAATTTTAAACGCAAAATCTCATGAATAAAAACGCCCAAAGCTGTTTTGTGTTCTGGGTGGGGCAGCAGCCCTCGTTGGTTTCTCTTCACGTGACGCGTGAAGAGAAACGTGTGACGTTTTTCCTTATTTGGCCATTTGATTGACAGAAGAGGTCGGCCCTGCGACAGAATTACGTTATTTACGCATGCTCAACTCTTCTCAGCTATGCCGGCCTCCAAGTGCTTTTCTTCCCTGAGTTGCTTTTCCTACGAGAACATACTTTGCGAATGGAATCAAGCCAAGAATGCATTTGGAAATGCCAGATTTGGCTTCATGGATCGCCCCTTGCCTGTTCCAGATCTTTTTGATCTAACAGGAAAAACAAAATACCAAGACAGCGTCATACGGATGTAGAAACTATACAATGAGACAAACAGGATTAAGGAGACGTTTAAAAGCTTTTATGAGGCGCAGTTTTCGAACTAATCAGTATGTTTTTGAATCATATCGGTTGTGAATTTACATTTAGCTCTTTGTGCCTTTGACGTCTGTTGCCCAAGTACCTTGCAAATTGATAATCACCGTATGGAACAGTTAACAAACTGTTTTATTATCCGTACGCTTTCGCTTATTCCACTCTTAGCACCTGATGATAAATTGCTCCTCTTCTTAAGAAAATGATCTCACTCCATTCATTTGAGTTTGGCTGCGTTGCTCGACCAAGTAGGAAAAGGAAATCTTTGAAACCATGAAACTTGCAGAAATGGGGCCTACGCAAATCTTCTTAACAGCTGAAAATTCATTTTGGTGAGCGAACTGATGATAATGAGCCATGTACAACTGACAACAAATCATTGAGTAAATTTCGATGCTCTATTACCAATACAGGTTATCTTTCCAAGCTGAAAATTTGATCCACTCCGACAAAAATAGATTTAAATTGCCTTATTCTTCCTGATCGTCTTTTAAAAATCGGCCCCAGAGATGGCTGTGGTGCACGATTCGCTCTGATCCTACGTTTGTAAATGTTCTCGGATGAAGCTGTTAGATGTTCCATGTGTTATACGCCCTCCCCTCCCCAACAAAGATCGTTGTACTTCAGTGGGGGTGGGTGCGTGTGTACTGTTTGTTTCAGAAGATTTATTTGTGAGTGAGCGACTGGTTTAACAGTGGAAAGCTCTCGCGGCTTTAGGATCTTTTAACTCAGCTCCTGCTACTGTAAAGGATTGTTATCAAAATCAGCGAAATATAAATCTTACACACCTGAATAGTTCTCTGAATTTTTATGTTTGTTTGGTAACAATATACAGAATAATATTTCCCAGAAACCGCGTCTTCTAAGAAACGTCTGAGTGTAATTCCGCAAACACTACATTCGTAATCAGATCGATCGGCCGGGTTAAACATCGGTAGCATGGACTTGGAAAGGTTTACCCTCTCCTTTTGCTCTTCAAGAGATGAGCAACAATCTTTTAGTAAGTATATATGTAACTCGGTTTGCCATGAATGACTTCTTCAAGGGTCCTCGTTATTTTCCTTTTTAAGCTACGGGTGGGAAAACGTTGTTGTCGTGTGAGATTGTAACCGCTAGTCAAATCAGTCGACGTACGTGTTCCTTTGTAGATCTTTTTTAGGATGGAAGCGATGAAGATATGAACGTGTTTCGTCGGTTCCTTGAACTAAGGGCTTTTGTAGAAAAATTAGAAATCGCATGGTCGCGTGAATTTCACACTCGCTACAAAGACCCTTGATGAGCTTGTTTGCATCAAAATTTACCGATCTCGCCAGAGGGTAATTGGAAGATCTCTGAAGTACCTTTTCTTTCATACTTTCAGAGAAACCCTCGAGTAGTATTCGATATACCGGCGTGAAACAATCCTATCTGCTACTGTTTTCTCGCAAGCCATGAATGAAGATGTATTTTTATAGTGTTCGCTTTAGTTAATAGATGCCTCGTGTTCGATGAAGCCATGAACACTTCAATTCATTGAAACAATCCTGTTTACTGCCGCTTGGCGTGGCTTGGCTCTTTTACTGCTAAGTTACGTGGAAAGTAGTTTGAGATCCAGTCGAGTTTTAAATGATAATCGTTCATGAATGGAAAAACAAGAACTTAAAGTGAAAGTAAAACTTCCGCCTTTGCTGAAGAGAGCCATTCATTTTCATAATCAATTAAATGTTTCTGTTTGGGTGGAATTGGTCTAAAAGCTATGTTAAATTCCCCGATTTTTTTGAGCCTTTCGTCTAATACAATGAAATTATTCGATTTAATGTTGATACAAGATGGAAGAGCGTTTTGTTGTAACAGAAGAGGCAGCTTATTCGTTTATTCAAAATGCGCTACCAGAGCATTTCGTTGGGTCAACATCTTTCTCTGTGAACATTTTTGACGGTAAGGCGTTTGCGAAAGCCTCTTCTCGCGCTCTGCATGAATGATCTAATGGAAAGTAAACATACCAATTTTCCTGTGGAGCAGAATTATGCACTTATATTTTTTAGGAGGCATGGATCAATTCCTCGTGGTTTACTATTCGCTTCTCAGAACAGATCAGTTCCGCGCACAAATATAAGAGCGAAATTTCGCGCCTAAAAAGGCTATTTTTATGTTTCGAAATCTGTAAGCAAAGATCCAGCTTAACAGGAAATGTGATTTGTCGGAATAAGAGCTTTGAGACGTGATAGGAAGTGTTAGGCACAATTTATTATCAAAAATGTAATGGAGAGATGGTGAGGTCAGAGGACAATGTTATCGCTCATGAAATGCGGAGGTTTGTGTAGTTCAGTTCTCAAAACCAGAATTCTCCATCGCGAATTATCTTCCCTTAGCAAGATACAAAGAGTCATTGTGTTTGCAGTAGTTCCAAGTTTAGATATCTCATCTTAAAGTTCTAGCTCCTGAAACCCGGAACTTGAACCAGAAAGTGAAAGCGCTCCATTAGTCTGGAGGCGACTTGATTACGAAGAATCACGATTGTCGCAATCTTCCCAAGGTGAACTATCTTTCTATGGCGAGACTAGAGTGGTCGAAAATGTTGGTAACAAAGATCTAATGTTTAGGCTCAAGCTAAATTGCGTCGAGTGTATTTTAGTCAGAGAACACATCTATGATCAACATGAGTGTACAACTTTTTTTCTCCTTCTACAGCTCGTTCTGCTCCAACAAGCAATTCAGAGCTCTTCACTAATGGTATATTTGCCTCGACAAATGGGATTCCTAGCTTTGGGCTGTCAAATGGCCTCAGAAAGACCCATGATGTAACAGCCATAAGCAATGGTTATGTTGATTACCAAGTGATACCTCGCAATGCTATTCATGGAACAGAGGAGCGTGAACCAAGCCCAGAACTGACGGTCGGTCACGGGAGACCAAAGTCTTCCCCGAGGCAACAGAAGCGAAGCGGCTCAGATTTTGAGAATGGCGAGAATTTGAGTTACGGCTTATTCCCGTTTACTCCAGAGGTAGATACACGGAATCTCCATTGTGATGCTTTTTTTTTAAGCTTAATTTGCGCGGTTCTTTTGTTCTCTCTTTATTGCACTCGCTGTGTGCATTACGTATCTCTGTCTCTTTGCCTAGTTCTCTGTCTGGCCACAGTTTGAAACATAACTTGTTCTATACGATTTCTATTGTGGTTCAACCCTAAATGTGGGTTCTCTTTGCCTCCTCGCACCCCACACCCTTCCAGGTTAAAACGGCTTTCACAACACGTAACCTCTACAATCTATCTCAAAGTGACCCTAAGGTGCTGCAGGCGAGATTATTCAACCATACTTGTACAGATATGAAAACTGAACATGTCTTAACCTTTTAACTCCAGTGAGTGACCAAGATAGAATTTCTCCTGACAATATCAATACACTATCAAGTAGACAAGTGATGAGAATACAAACAAATATCAATTAGGGGATTCTTAGTGAATCCAATACTAAATTCTCCAAAATAACATCACAAGAACTATCATGGCAGACATTAAAGAGAATTTCTGATGAAATCATGGGAGTTAAAGGGTTCAAGTGACCAAGATTATATTTGTGTCTGCTCATGTAAATTCTACTTGTTCCAAATGTTTGACTCGATAATCACGAATTCAGTCGAGCTCTCTATTGCGTGATAGTCGAAGACGGTGAGACGTAAATCCTCTATCACGCATAGAAATCAAAAGCGAATAATCCAATTATCATGATCTTCGTATTAATCTACTAGTCTTTCAAAACATAAGCATAAGAGAGGCTCGTGTTTTAATTGAATAATGATACAAATGCGTCACACTGTTAGGTAATTCATTTCACTTGACATCTATCCATCGTGGAATGGATAGTGAGTAGTTGGCTCATCAGATTGCAGCGTAGATTGTACTAACAATAGATATGCGTTTGATCCCAATTTCGTCAAACAATTCATAGGTGCGAATAGTATCGATTTATTTTTGTTGACGTACTTGTCCTCTGAGATTGGACGATTACAGAGAACACTTCCGCAAACGTTAAGATTTTGTGTGTTTCTTGCAGACAAGCGACAAACTGAAGCAAATTGAAACTCCAAGACATGGTGTGACCAGCGAGAGACAGGGCACAGCCGACGTTATCAACTCGCAAGTGCTCTCGGGTCTCAATTCATCATTCGCCTTCAGACTTGGTGGCAAGGAGGGTATCGCAGACCCAATTCCTCGAAGATGGTCCGATGTAAGTCTTGAAAGGTATTCATCGAAATCTCCACCTTTGCATGGCAAAGCTCCAGGCTACCTTCAAAGGGCGTCCGTCAGGAGTCATTCCGAAAGCGAAGTCGTTTCATCAGGCTCCAACCTGAACGGACGTCAGCAAATTCTACGCAGAAATGTCCCAGAAGGATCTTTGGGATCTCAGCCAAAACTTGGAGACCTTCAAGAAAGTATTCTTCAACTGTTGCAAATGCATGAACCGCTGGCACCCTTGCAGATTGTCGAAGCTTTGGGCCGTGGGACACGGGACGAGATTCACCAGGCGCTTTGTGCACTCCATACCAAGGAACGTGTCAAAGCTTTCCAAACCAATGGGACGACAGTATGGGCCTTGATTTCGCAACCTACCTGTGATTGGCGAGCGAGTCCAGGGGTCATCGGTGGCGAAAGAAACAAGAAGTTTTTTGGACGAGGTTCTTTTGAAGAACTCTACGGGTTACCAAGGAGGAATTTTTCTGTTCTTGGATACGATAATAGACCAAGGAAAGCCCCACGTGCCATCGATGGCCAGAAGGTATGGCTGCGTTCTAATGGACACAGTCCAACACCAGTTGAAAAGAATTCTTGGACTTACTGCAGATTGTGCAAATTTTCGTTTGCCTCGGAATCACAATATGAGGAGCACCTTCGCACTACGAAGCATCAAAACAAAGTGGCCAAGTTTAGTCCGACTTCCTACAAGAAGTACTGCGAGTTCTGCAACGTGAACCTGAATTCCGAGTCGCAAGCCAACGAGCACTTCAACAGCGCTAGACACGAACAGACTGTGGCCAAGTCGCAAAAAGCACCCCCACAGCAACATCTGCCACTGATCAAAGCCCCCAAGGAATTTTTCATGGAGCAGTTCACAAGCACCCAGCCGTTTAACTACCAATTAGAGTTGTATAGCAAAGCTATGTTGACCAATGGTGTTTGCTTTTTACCAACTGGAACGGGGAAAACACTTGTAGCTGCTCAGGTCATTGCCCACATGCTGAAGTTAAACCCATCTCGACAAGTGGTGTTCTTGGTGGATCGAGTTCTCCTCGTTCTCCAACAAAGCGACTACCTTAGAAAGGAACTGGGACATATTCGAGTAGCAGACGAGCGAGGGTCTTTTGAGAGCACCAGGTCTATCCGCATTGGAGCGGTCTGCGGGGAAATGAGGAAACTGGAGGGAAACGCACGCATTTACGAGCAGGACGTGCTGATCATCACAGCCGACTGCTATCGGAATCATCTGAATAATGGCACCCTTCGCTTTGACGACGTGTCTTTGATTGTGTTGGATGAAGCACACCATTGCAACAAGGATCATCCCTACAACGTCATTATTCGGGACTTTTATCTCCAGGAAGATGTCCATCTGGGGCATCGACCCAAGATCCTTGGACTGACAGCATCTCCAGCTGGGGAGACGTCTTTGGAAAAAACCACCAGAAGATTACAAAGGCTACTGGGAAACCTCGGAGAGGCGGAGCTGTTAGTCGTGACGAGGAATGGGCTAGAACTGGAAGAGAAGACCAACAGGGCAACTCCTGACTGCATCTCTGCTTCGTACACCACTCAAGAGAGTAATCTCTTGGAAATTCTCGTGAAATATGTCACTAAAGCGTTCAACCTGACCGTTCGTTTGAGCGACATGAAGGACTTCAAAGACATTTTTCAACCTTCCTCTGGAGGTCCGTTCAGCTTCGATGACATCTACCCAGTTCTTGGTGTCATTGACAATATCTTACTCTCGCAACCTGAGTCCAACGCGTTGAACGCCTTGCTTCACTTCCAGCTGCTCTGTGAGGCTGTATGCACTTTGCAGGAGTGTGGTGAACAAATAGCGTTGTATCAAATGACAGAGCTTGCACAAGAGGCGTGTCCTCACGGCTTCCATTGGGCAGAAAGTATGGGTCTTCCCTGCGGCGAAGTCAGGGCATATTTGGAGCATTATCTCAGACAAGGTGAAGTGTGCTAACGTTAACTCTAGGTATCACTATTTATCGCCTTACTTAGCCTAGCCTTTGCTACCATTAGAGTGCCTTATGATTGAGTATCGTAAAACCAAAATCAAAGCAATCACAACAGCCAATCATAGGAAGGAAAATATTACCAATGAGAACTTGAGTGAGAACTTGATTCTGATTGGTTGAGAAAGTGGTGCGAGTTTCCTGGACCAATCATTTAACGAAAAAGGGAAAAAACAAAGCAATCCTGATTACGGTCGACACTCGATTAAAAATTCTCTATTGCAATAGGGTCAGTAAGTGTTATGGAAACTTGAAAAAAGGAATCGCATAGTAATGGTACCGGTTATAATATAGACATGAACCGTGAGCCTAAGACTCATTTTTATTACATATGAACAAAAGACGCGTCATTCTCCACTCCCATAGAGGCGTGGAATCAGTCTTGGAAAATGAACAGAAATGTTATTATTTTATTTAGAACAACTAGAAAAGAAATATAATGCTATAATGGTTGTTAGTTCTCCATCGCAAGTAATGGAAAACGTTTAAAAGGGCCCCAGTAGAGTCGTGAAAAGTCAGGAAATTTTATAGCTTGTTCTAGATATTTCAATGCACACAAAATGATCTAAATATTCGAGATGTACTATTAATTTTATGTATGTCTTCCGCAGGTTTTCCATCGATCATTGAATGTAGAAACTCAGGAGCAGAGCGGCTCATGGAACAGTTAGTGAGAATAAACTGGACCGGAGTTATCGGTCGAAGCAGTTGTCTTGCCCTGGTACTCGTCAAACGACAACACACTGCACGATGTTTGTCGGAGTATCTTTCAAATCAAGGCGAGCTTATTTCTCGCGGTGTAAGGACCACATTCATAAATGCTGGCAGATCAGCGGATAAAGGTGAGGGCTTGTTCTCATATTTTTTCGATCTCCGCGGTCAAACGTCGGGTATGTGCAAGTAGATCAACTTTGGCGCCAATTTCACGCGCAAAAATTCAAAGGGAAACATTAGAAACATCTGCTATCGTTTGTTTGATTACTAGTATCCCGTTGAATTTAGAGCTTTATCGAAAAAAATTAAACGCTTTTAAAACACCATGAACTTCCTAGTTTGTGTCATTTCTATTTCAAGATGAGAGGTTAAGTTTGTTTAGAATCTTTTTAAAAATGTTTTGACTGTATATCTTGTTTTGTCGTACAGGACTGACTTATCCCTTGGAAATAGACCCAGTCGCACAAACACGCGAGGGAAAATTTCAGATTGTCGTCACTACAAGCTTAACCGAGGAGGGACTGGACCTCCCCGAGCCCCAGTGGGTGTTCCATATGGATCCGTCAAGCCCGGTCCAAGCCCTCCGGGAGATACGTGGTCGAGCACCCCTAAATGGATCCAGGTTTGTTGCTATCTGCCGGAACAACGAACAGACCAAGAAAATTGACGATTTGTTAAAGCGAGAGGAAAATATGAAGCGCTCCTCAAAACTCATAATAAGTAATTTGTGAGTAATCTGTCAGTTTCAAATGAATCTTTCAGTCCAGTCCACTAATCTTATTTTATCGGGTGTTCAAATGTTAAAAAATCGATCGAAATATCGCTGAGTTAATGTATCCTGGCTGTTTACGAAGCCCGACTAAATCAGGAAATGCGGCGTCTTTGTAAGAACAATGTGTTTGAACCCAAATTTACACAAAAAAAAAAGACTCATAATCTTTAAAAGTATAGGGAAGGAAACATGAAATTACATTCACGAGTTGCGAGGAAAATCGTCATATACGAGAGTCTTGATTTAAGAATACTGCGTTCGAATTTGTCCTCTATGAACAGCCATAGACCAATGAAACATTCCTATCTTTTATTTGATTACCATTTATCCATAAAAGTCTTACCATTGTCAGTAAGATGTTACATACGCAAGAGAGATTGGGATCAATATCAGTACCTGGGCAACTGCCCACCTACCCCTTCCCTAACCCAACATTAACCCTAACTTGTAATCAATTGACTGTTGTTGAGTTAGGGGAGGGGTAAGTGGGCAGTTACCCAGGTACTGATATTGATCCAGAGATTGTTAATATCGTTGATACTATTTCGCTTTTATTTTGGGGTTAATAATATTCAAGGAGAAATTGAATTAATAAGTTTTATTTGATATATGACAACAAGTGTAGGTTTGATCCGGACAGAAAAAGGCTAACCTTCCGGGTTTGTCATATGAAGCGAAAACAATTGATCTAAATTGTAATGAATTAAATCAAAGGCGAAATTGAATAATGGCAAGATTATATTTGAGTGCCTAATTTAAATGTCCATACATCCCTATTTACACAGTTTGATTAACAATATGTGGTGAGTTGCTTTGAGTAAATTTAATTCCGAACTCGCAAACCTTTTTACAGCTTATTGGCGCCATCATAATTTCGCTGGTAACTTTGAGCTTCGAGGTTGTTCTTACGAATCTTTTATATTACATTTATTTCTTCATTGCGTAGTTATGTTCATAAAATATGGCGCCTTACGCTGAAATTAGGTCTTTTGATCAATGGAACTTGTTGTTAAATATGAAGAAAGTCTTCAGATTTGAACTGTTTAAACCCAATGTGTTTGATACGTATCAAAAGAAAGGAGACTTTGACTACGATTTCAGTATTCCACGCGGATGTATTTTTCGATTGCTACGGGATTACAGCAAAAATTTAATACGAAATCGCATTTCACTAATGTGCATAAATGTCCAGATAGTCGTAGAGACTTTTTAGAAGTAAAGAATAAGCTGTTTTTGTAGAATTTTCGCACGCTGAGCATCATGAACGAGAAAATTAAACAGAATTTGAAACTTATTCAAAAACATTCCTTCCTTTTTTTTTTCAATTTGATCTTTAAATCCTCACGAAAATTTTCAGGATCAGTCATGTCAGGTTTGATGTCAAAAAACTATATTAAAAAAGTATTTTAGGTCTAGGTAATGCAGATTGTTGGACTGCCAAATAAGTTTTGAAAAGCAATAAGAACAGCGGAATAGTGTACTGATATCAAAGAAGTCATGTCGTTGTTACTACGGTTCGGAAAAGTATTTTGGTTGGGGAAAAAAACCAAGGAGACTTTGTTAACGAAGGCAGGTTTCTTACACAGCACGAAAAGAAACGATTTTAAATCAGAAACACAAGCGATTCGGTGGGTTTAGGTAGGAGATACTTAATTCGGATGGCTAAAGATGAAACTTGAAAAATGTTTTTGATATATATCGGACGTGCGTGACGAGAATGACATACGTGACAACCGTGACATCAGCGATACTGCTACATATGGGACGAGTTTATCATCTGTTTGCACTAGCGTGATTTCCTTCGCATAAGAAGCTTTGTGTAGTTTGTTGTGTTGGTAAGCTTAATTAAGAATATTTTTTTTCTAGTGTTTGCGTTTAAAAACCCTGAAAACCTTAGAGCAAGTAAACGCCTCGTTTGGTACCCTTTTAGTTGAAAGATTTTTAAAGTCCACTGCACGAAGAAAGAAGAAGAACTCTTTCCCGAGTGTTGATTATATTCAAAGCTGTTGTTCTTAAAGAAAAGAAATTTCAAGTTTCTCTTTGACCAGAACTGATACATACTTAAGGCGTTTTTTGTCGAGACCGATTCTCAAAGCCAACTATACAGCGCAGTCGAAAAAATCGAAAGTCGAAAATCGCATGAACCTTCATTCAACAAGCTTTGATATTGCCTAAATAATCCTTAGAGTTTTCACAGTAATATGCAGATGAAATATCTTAAGGAATAAGTGAAATATGCAGTCATGTAATTAAGAGTCAATTAGGACTTGCGTGTGAATTAATGATTACGTTAAGATGTTATATTCATGGAATTATTATTTATAGTTGAGTAAGGGTAGATTTAATATGGCAGTTATTGTTAACTTACGTTCGTATTTCATGATTTTAGAGCAATTTTCATTTGGGTGTCAGAAGTAACCCCAGATTGCTTTGAATTTTTAACTTTGCTCTCTGATTGGTCCAGAAATTTCTTGCCTTCCTCTCAATCAATTAGATGCAAAAACAAAAAACAATCGCGACTTGGTCATGTGCGTTTTCCCGCGCTTCGAGTTGTGTGCTTGTTTCCAGTTTGATTTCTCATTGGCTAATGATAATATAAGCCTTTGTTCTGATTGGTCCCTGGGATTACTTAGGTTTTAGTTTCTTGACACTCATTTGAAATTTTGCCCGAAGGCGTACTGTTATCGAGCAGTATCTAACTGTTCATCTTGCCTTGTTCTTCAAACATTTTAATTTAATAGCGCAGGCGTTACAAGGAACCCAAGAATTTCCAACCTCACCTCAGTAAAATTTTTAGAGCTATTTAAAAGGAGTTTAATTCGATTACTGTCATGTTTTTCAAGCAGACACAAATTCTTGCTGAAAAGCACCCGGTAACCAATTCAAAAACAAGGAGTTCGAAAAGGGGAATTCATCCCTATAAGACGAACTTGGTTTGATAGCGTGTTTGTAGCGTGTTGATACATTTTCAAATATATTTGTAATTTGATTATTTGATCTATTTTTTGGCATTTTAGTTTCAAATGCCGTATTTATAGAGTTCTAGTTGTAAAGCTAAAGGAAAAATATTCTAAAGGTGGAGTTTTTATGTATCAAGTGTGAACTTAATTTAAATAAACGTATGGAAGACGACTATGTGTATGCGCCTGAGTCTGTTTTAGCCAGAGTAATTTCCAGTGAAGTGTCGAAAAAATGTTGTAATTGGTTCAGAAACGCTCGCACCATTTTCCCAACCAATCAGAAGCGTGGAACCTGTCACGTGCATCAAGTTGGTTTATTTGAGTGTGCCCGCTAGCGTAACTGCTTCGTTCTCAGTTGTGATCATGTAGTGCAGTGTTTTTAAACAGATTTATAAAATAATCCAAATAGTACGCGCGCTCATATTGGCCATAAAACCATTTTACATGAGCTTATGTAAACACGGTTTTCGTTCCTCTTTCATTAAGCTGGAAACCACTCCGCTTCGCGTCGTGGTTTCCTACGCTTATCTCGTGTTCTCCCAACCTCCCGTGTGTTTACATCAGGCTATGTAAACACGGAAACCATTTTACATTTCTTCATTAGAATACCTTTCACACGGCATCATGGGGTCTTTTGCAATTGCGATATTTGGAGATACTCACGCAGCAATGAACCTAAACACGCTGAGTAAGATCTTGAGTGTAAAAGTCGGCAAATCAAGAAGCCTGCATTCCTTACACTTTCTGATAAGTTCGACGCATTATTAGCAGTTTAAATGGGGCAGCAGCTTAGAGTGATCACAAAGTTATTCTCCCATAACACCCCAACATATGAGGGCATATTCTCCACACTGTTCTGAGCACATATCCTAAAGTACTTTTCAAGGAGAATTTGTCTGACAATCAAGAGCTTCCTGACTTCACGATCATTTGCAGTATTCTCATGACCTTAGTATTATATTAAAGGCTAATACTGTTGCGAGAAATTAGATGCTTGTCACCCTTGGGGGTTGGGTGTTAGCTGCAGTGCCAGATAATGTTCTTTTCTTTACGCATTTGAACAAATGGACACTACTGTCTAAAATCATGTACTAGTGTCTATAATCGGACACCAGTGTCTAAAATCAGACACCATTGTTTAAAATCGGACATTACTTTCTAAAATCGGACACTGATGTCTGAAATCGGACACTAGTGTTTGAAATCGGGTATTAGTGTTTAAAATCTGAAATCTGACAGTGTTTAAAGTCGAACATTAGTGTCTAAAATTGAACACTTGTGTTCAAAATCTGACACTAGTGTCATACTATACATTTCCTGAGGTGCTCAGTGACAGAGAGAATTTGTCTGACAATCAGCTTCTAGAGTTAGCGTTTTAGCGTCAACCAGGACCAGGATGGCCGAGTGGTTAAGGCGTTGGACTTAAGATCCAATGGACGAATTGTCCGCGTGGGTTCGAACCCCACTCCTGGTAAGTCTTTTTTCTTCTTAATTTCTTAGCATAATTTTACGATTTAGGTAGGAGGGAAACTCTACATTTAAACATCTTGCAGAGTTATATGACAGCCGAGAAAATCTGTTTTTTTTTTCTAATTTCGGAAAGAAAAATGATAGTACCGTGTTGGTGGCATGAGTAGCAGTACATCATACTGCTTCATCTCTCTCTTCGCCCTCAACTCAAGTAAGAGTCTGCCTCCCTCCATCTTATTCATAGAAGTGTCTGACGGATAAGATGCATTAATATGAAATGTTCAATTTTTGCAATGTGGGTCATCTACTTCTGAAAAATTATATACTTAGACCAAGAACGAAGGACATGGAATGGAAACCGGAACGCCGAAAGTACAGCGGTAATTCTTATAAAAATTCAAAATGGCGGACGCCAACACGAAAATGGAACGTGAGCAGTTTTAGAAACATTATTTTCAGAGGGGTCTATTTTCACAAAACAGATCCTAATCGTTCCCAAGGAATAAACGATTTCTGAGCGCCTTACTGAATTCAGTCATATCTGTTTCATCTTCTCCATTTATTATTTGTTCAATTGTATTCCAGAACGCGAACAAGGCACAGAATTATTGATTTTCGAAAATGACCCATTTTTAACCCTCTGTTGTTACCGTTGCACCCAGTTGAATAGAATCCTATCTGTTTCGTTATCTCCATCGATAATTTGTTCTAAGCATTAATTGACCTTCGAAATCAACCATTTCAACCTTCTGGAATTTTCTTTTTTTACCCAATTGACGTCACAAGTATAATTTTGTCATTTCTCCTTTCTAATTTTCACTGAAGATATTCATCACCTTCTGAAATACACTTAAGCGGAATCATGAGTACATATATTTACACAGCTCAGTTTTTTGAAAGCCGAGTAAGGAAAAATGTCTTAGCTTGTCTATCATGCTTTTTTTGTCGCCTTTTATAGTGTGTGAGCGAGAGAAACCCATTGACCGAGGGTTTAATCTATTTACCTCGTGCATTATCGTGGAAACGCATTTTAAAGATGAGTGCGTCATTTCTGTCAACTTTTGGCCTGAAAAGTGCATTCAAACGACTAAAAAATGTCATTAGCAACAAGAAAAGCTACGTGGAAATGTTGGAAGCCAATTAGTCTCGTAAATGCACGTAAATCCGGTAAAATCTGCAGAAGTTACTGAACTTAACGACCTAAAAATTTTCTCTCAATTCGATTTTTTATTTTACTTTAGCAACTTGTATTTTCACTGAAAGTCCAGGGTAACGAGAGGAAGATAGGTTTCCTGCGATTTTTAGAGACACAATTACATGAAAAAACCTAAAATTCTTATTGATCCATATAAAAAAAATCTGGGCCATATATCTATTTCTTAATTTTTGGTTTTTTCTCGTCCATTATATGTTCCAAGGGATTATTCCAAGTACTTTCAGTAGGAAGTCTACTTTAGGGCTCAGCTTTTGACAAAAAATGGAAATTAAATTCTTCACAGGAGACATCTGGTTGAGTACGTGAAAGTTTTTTTATTGTTAGCTGTAAGCCGGCTTGACTCCTTTCATAAAAATGAATCGTTAGACACGTTCTAAATTGAAGGTGGTTCTAAAGGGTTTTTTTTTCGAAACAAGGGCCCTTCTTTCAAAGGTCACAAAATTCATTTTATGGCAGCGGGTAGCAGAAAATTTTGTCTCTCTAATAGAGAAATCATAACGCTTTATTGAACTGTTTTGCTTTCAAATACGCGAACTATCGCTCGCTTTAGGAGCTATAAAACTCTGGCTCACAGGCCGAACAATAGCTAAGATTACACATCTACAGTAAGGCCAGTGATCGCGTCGATTAATGGACTCCAGAACTAAATATTACTATAGATAGGCTCGAGATAGTGTGAATTATCACAACGATAATGGGAAACGTTGAACAAAAGGACTATTTGGCTTGATTTTAACGTCTATCCAGGTGGCTTCTTTTGATATCCTGATGTTAAATGCCATTCATATCTGTTATTTAGATTTCTATTGAAATCAGTTTTAAACGAAATGTTTTTTTTTTTTTTGTTATCGCGGCAACCGAACAGATCATGAAAATTTAAAAACTTCACGGGCGAGAGCTGTAAAGTACCTGGAATGCTTTTTAGTAATGCGGCAAATGTCACGATCGAAAAGACCGGGTGAAAAAAAAAACACTTCTAAAGCAGATTAATGTGAAGAAACATGCGCGCATCAAAATTAACTCGTTGAGGCTGCAATCGTTCGACGATGTTCCTCTGAAACAAAGTCAGAAGCCTAAAAATCTGCCGTGCACAAAATTGTATGGACGAATATTCTGTGGACAACATGAACAACACAACACCTGTACAGTTCGAAGAAGAAAAAGTGTGTTTTAAGGTGGACATTTTCCCTTTGTTCGTGTTTGCTTTCGTGGTCAATTTTCTCGCCCTCATCGCTGTGTTCAAGGCAAAACCAAGAATTTCAACGCCAACCTCAGCCAAGCAAATTCACCTGCTCATCTGTTGTCTCGCTGTTTCGGACACTGCATCACTGGGTTTGCAATGTGTGATGCCTGTAGCTTCGTTCATAAACTGTGGCTGGTGGGGAGGTCGTGTTACTTGCGGCATTTTTGGTTACATCAACGCCATTTTCATTCTATGGTCAGCCTGGATCGTATCACTTTTAAGCTTTCAGAGATTTTTTGCGACTGCATTTCCATTCCAACATCAACGCAATTTCACGATGAAGAAAATTAAAACTGCCGTGGTCTTTATTTTCTTTATGCTTTGCTTTTTCTTCACGCCGCCATTTTTTGGCGTAGGTGCGTTTGTCTATTACGACACAGGCCAATTTTGCAGCTTGAGTTTGACACCAACTGGAAAATCAGACACGATTTTTCTTGGAATACTCGTCACGCAGGGTGTTACTTGCGTGTCTGCGGTCCTTGTTTTCAATATACACGTTGTAGAATCGTTAAAAACAAGGAGGACGCCATTTCATGGGAGCACTAGGCGCGCAATGGAGGACACAACAGCCACTTTCGTGTTATTGACAAAAGCTGTGGCCTTCGTGTTCTGTCTCTGCAATATCCCCCTTTTGGTAAGTAAAGTATCAAAAAAATCTGCATAATGCACTCTGTAGGTATCCTAAGTCGATATCGGACAATAGCCGATGAATTTGTTAGTCGATGGTCGACCGACAGTGGTATGATGCTTACGTCCAGATTTATCAAAAATCAACGGAGAAATTGCCGATTAATTTGGTAGCCGATGGTCGACCGACAATCGACCGATAGTGATCCGATGCTTATCACACATCGAGAAGTCGCCGACAATATTTCGAGCGTCGGTCGACCATGCAGAAATTTATCAATACTATCGCAACATCGATTTCCCAAATTCTACACAGCCATTTAATTTCATTTTAAATAATTTAAAGGGCACACTTATAAGGAACTGATATGAACGTTCTTTTCTCCCACAGATACGAATAGCGGTAGACTTATTTAAACAGACTTCTCATGAAGACCTCGGCTTGGAACACACCCTAACAATGGCCTTGATGTTCTTAAACACTTTGGCAAATCCCTTTATCTACGTCGCCTGCAGAAGACGCTACAGACGGAGCCTACTGAGACTTTTTTGTTTTGGTCAGCGGAAGGGCATAACTCGAGTGTACTTTTATGAGGGCACAGGGACATCAAAACCTGTCCACAGTTTGAGATGTAAAGGAGAGACTACAGTTTTTTAACAAATGAAACTTAAGAACCCTCTCCTTCTTAAAAATAACAAGTCAGGGAAACGAGTGTCCATCTTTGAAGGCACAGGGACCCCAAAGTTTGTCTACACTTGAGATTTCATGGAAAGACTACTTTTTTATAACATTGAAAAAAAAATAGATAACCCTCCACTCCTTAAAGTGACCGATAAGTTATTTCTCCCTGTGAAATTAATATAACGTCAAACAGGGTGGTGACGAAACCAAAGAAAAATATTAACTTCAGGATATTCTGTGATCTTACGCAAAATTCTCCAAACTGACCCAAAATACGCGTGCGGAAGGTGGAAGTACTTCACACACGCGGGACACATGCCTACCTCCTCCACACAGGAAGAAGCGGAAAAAAAAATGTTATGTAAAATTATTAGATAAAAATGAAAATTAAACTTACGCCTTTCCTTGAGGCGGTGTAGTTTCATCTTATATCTTCGTCTTACAAAGAAATCTCATCGGATGCCCATTTCTCGCCGGGGAAGACCTTGTTGTCCTGGTCTCATAACAAGATTTATGGGACAAGAGCAGCCATCTTTGAAAGGTGTGTGGATCAGAATTTTTAAAAAATTCAGACCAAAATTGGTATGCACTGTTCCTTACGCATTTTCCTTTTTGTTTTTATTTATTTTTTTTATCCTTTGATCAATCTTTGCTCTTAGAGCTTGTGAGACAATGATGAATACGCCTGGTTCTAGAATACACGAGGAATAACAACGAACCCGATTGCCCTCGACGTAATTTATCCAAATGAGAGAATACCAGCCATCTATTCATTTTGGATTCCTTTCTCAGGGAATCAAAGCACCCTGTTCCTCCTTAACCCTTTTTGCGTTAAGTCAGAAAAAAGATTTCTGTACAATCACAAGCAAGATCTGATGAGATTTCCATACAACACCAACCTATTCTAAAAAAAAAATCCTGGTAATATTTTCGCGCCATCCATACTAATTGTAAAAAAAAAGCGGTAGTCCTAGAGGCAAACTTTTCTTAATCCTTAATCCCATAGGTGATCTACCGTTTTCTTCCTTTTATTGTGTTAGCAAGAAGCCGTTCGTATAATGAAGAGTGGGGCTTTACGGAAATCTAGCCGCCAATTCTGACTGCATGGCGAATTAATTCAATCCTTCAACAGTTCAAGAATACTTTTTATAAAATAATTCAAATAGTACGCGCGCTCTGATTGGCTATAAAACCATTTTACATGAGCGTATGTAAACACGGTTTTCGTTCCTCTTTCATTAGTTATTTTATAAAAGAAATGTAAAATGGTTTCCGTGTTTACATAGCCTGATGTAAACACTTGGGAGGTTGGGAGAACACTCGATAAGCTGGAAACCACTCCGCTTCGCGTCATGGTTTCCTACGCTTATCTCGTGTTCTCCCAACCTCCTGCGTGTTTACATCAGGCTTTGTAAACACTGAAACCATTTTGCATTTCTTCAATAAAAACAGAGTAGTTTTTGCAAGGCAGTTTGAAAACTGCTACTAATTTTCCTTTAACATACAAACTAGTTACAAACAATGCCTCTCTTTTTCTTCTTGATTCCTAATTAGCCGGTTGAGCGTGCAAACGAAATTTTTCGCCAACCCTGTGACGTTCCGTCAATATGATTGGCTAGAATAGGTAATCCATATTCATCAGAATTTGCAAAATTTTCAACAAACCACGCTGTCTGTCGCAGAGTGAAGATGTGTCGTACATTTGTGCTGAAGAAAAGTAAGCCTCTGGAAGAAATAAAACGCTTGACCGATAAAGAAGAGAAACGAAGGCATTCGTTGCAAACTAAAAAAAGGTGAGCTTTTTTTTTGAAAATATTGCCTTAAAATCCTTCAAAAAGCTGAACGAGTTGCAGCATCTTGATTACACGAGTCAACACGTGGCAGTTGTATTTGGTCTATGCGTTTCTTCAGCTGTAGTTCGAGTGAGTAAGGATGTCGGCCTCTGCAAAAGCAGAGCATTTGGTTGTGAAACATTTTGAGAAAAATGTACAATTATCTTTAGGTCCAGCGCTAATGTTATCTAATTTTGATTAAACTTGGTCTTTGATAAAAATTTCAACACTTCTTTACCAAATACCTTCCCTACAAACTCTTGATGAGAAAAATGTACAATTATCTTTAGGTCCAGCGCTAATGTTATCTAATTTTGATTAAACTTGGTCTTTGATAAAAATTTCAACACTTCTTTACCAAATACCTTCCCTACAAACTCTTGAGTGAATAACCAAAAAAATAAAATGATTCAAAATTTATTTCAAGTTCTCCTTGTCACAAGTCCTCATAACTCTTTCACTCGTGAGTGACTAGACTCTAAATTCTCCTTACAGTGTAACGCTTGAATCCAATGTAAATGTTATGAGAATAAAGGAAAAGATCTCTAATTTAAGAACTTCCCGATTGTCCATCAAATTCTTCTTGTTATTACCACAGAGTGGTAGAGAGGACAGTGTGGAGATTATGAATGTTAATGTTAAGGTGTGAAGAGTTAAGCAGTATTATCTCGTCTTAGAGCTGACTTAAACCACTTAGCTGTCCCTGATCATGTCTATTTTTTCCAGGAAGAGGAATTTTGACAGAGGGATGGAAGGATAAAGGATATAATCAGAAGAACACATTAGAGTCATGGGATTTGAAGAGGACACTACAAAGATAAGAACTTTTTAATGACTACGTAGGAGTAGCAAAAATGGTGGCTATCTTGGTATCTCATTTTTGTGAGAAGACTTCCCTAGTCATGAATGGGTTGACTTTATCCGTCTTTCCCTGGGTATGGTAAGTGTCGAATAGTTACAATGTATAATTAGCCACCAATTTTTCGGATATATTTGTAAGGGTACGGATTGTTTTGCAGACCACGAGCGACGGTATGAGTTGAGTATTATTTTGCTACACGCCATAATTTGGTGTTCTTTATCTCTGAAAACTTCGTGACAATGCTTTCACAATATAAGCATCTGGTAATTAAATTGAAATTGGCTCAAGAACACCGAGATAAAAATTGAAAACTGAAAAAAAAATTGTTGATCTCGTGGGATAGATCGCTCATTTTGGTTTGCGGAACATGAAGTATCTCGGTTACATCTCAGTTGATGTTGCAAAATGGTGATATTTGTTAAGGTGGCACTGTAACAAAAGACGTCCGACAAAGACCAAATGGAAGTCTCAACTTAAATCTTGAAATCAATTAGTTTTACCCATTTTATTTTACATCGCATTGTTACACACCATCGATTTAAAAACCACGTTATTGATTGGGACAGTACAGGGTACTGCAACACTAGCTGTTTTCAACGGCTGAGTGAAGAAAGCTGATTAAATTAAAATAACCCAGGACAGACTCTATCACCAATCACCAATTGGTTTCACAAACAGACTTACAGTTACACTAACCGATCACACTGCGTATTCGAAAATTTTCAGTCTTTAATAATTTTTTTTTCATTTTGAAACAACTTTCAGCATTACTTGAGAAATTTTAGGAAAATTGGCTAAATAAAAGCGAAATTGATGTTAATGATATTTCATTCTCGACATCAATGTAGAATTAATTTGCTCGAAATGTAGAATTAATTTGCTCGAAAAAGAGCCATTTGCTGTCAAATTCAAAAATAGAAACCAGTACAGTGCCATCTAAACTCGTATGTCCTAATCCTTCTGTCCCATCAACTGAGGCCATTTCCAGTTTGCAAGAGGACATTGGCTTTAACTTAAGGGCCATTATTTAAGTAATAGTACAATGTAATTGGGCTTTATTTAGATTTTTTTCTGTTGTTTGAAACGTATGCACCAATGTTCTCTTGCGACGTTGGAAGCAACATCTTTAAAAATCTGATGCCTGGTCTTGAGTTCTTTAAAATAGAATCGCCAATTCAGAATTTAATGTTACATAAACCAGTAAGGGTGGATTCATTTTACGGCTAAGAAATGTAGATTTTTGCGATTTCATTTTGTGGTGAATATTTTTTTTTTTCCAAATCGAGGAAAAAGTGAATATCTCTTAGGAAGAAAAACGATCTAAACAAGTTCATTTATTAATGAAAAAATAAATGAGACCTTTGAAATGCGATTGTGGCTGTTAATTCATCACGAATAAATCTTTATTTTCATCTCTCTCTTTATGGAAAAGAATATGCAAAATTCAAAACTCTTGCTGTTATGCTGGCTGACCATTAAAAATCAAATTAGCGAGTATGAACAATTCAAGCGCACGCTGCCAGTTGAGAGCATAATTGTGTTTTCTCAAATTTTTTTCAACAAAATTACGAGATGGTGCGTGTTTTGGCAAGATTTCCGCCCTTCATTTTGCGTACAGTTTTTGGATAAAGAAAACAATTCATGGCGAAGAAAATAGATTGCCTTAGGGATTTCGGCTTTGTTTTGGAGTAGTATGAGGTTTGTACGGAATATTTTCCGTGTTTAATTTCTCGTGGGCACTCGTGTTAGAATTTCTCCCCAATATTGAGTAGCAAGAGTAAACGAATGTTTTCGATCAAACATAAGCGCGATTCAAATCATCTCTAGCTTCAAATTTTATCACCTGCTAAAATTTCGAACGATATTATACACTTTAATAATGAAGAATGAGTAAATTGAATGAGTTTGTGAATTTCTTGCAATCGTGAAAAAGTTTGAAGAAAACCACATCAGGTTTGTGAAGCACGCGAATTCAAAATGCTAGTTAGTATATTCAAATTTCATACTCATAAGTAAAATTTTCTTATCGTCAAACTCTATAATATCCCAATGTTTGCCCATTTTCTGGTTTATGTACCACATTATCTACTGTTTGAACATTAGTGTTAATTGGTTAAATGTTAAATTTAGGCTATGCTCGATACGACTACCTCTTATCAACTATGAACTCAAGACCAGGCATTTGGGTTTAAAACGGAACGTAATTTATCAAGCTATATAATTATTAGGTGGAGGAAAGATCTTTCGTGCTGTTTTTCGGTGTAACACAGGAATACACGAAG